AGATCGATACAAATTAAATACATAAGTTAGCCTTTACATTTATTACATTTATAAACAGTTCGTGTCTATCTGTTCGGCTTTTTATATCACCATGCCTCAATCCGTATAATCACACAAAGGTGACCTTAACGTGATACGAACACGGGATGCCCCGTGTCTCTACGTAATCACGCAGAAATGCTCGCCCCACCTCAAATAAAATCATTGCTAAGGTGCTAGCATGTCCATAAATTGCCAACGAATAGCAGGAAAGGGCCAATGTTGCGGTATTTACTGGTTTATCTGTTTTGTTTCAGTGCCAGTGTGTTTGCTGATGTCAAGTCATATGGAGATTGTAAATCTGAAAACAGGATGGCGAGTTCCTTTTCCGGAGTTGTAATTCCATTAGAAAGTACAAAGCTGAGAAATATGTAAAATCAGTGAGATTTTGATAGGAATAGAGTACGGTTAAATAAATGAATATTGCAGGAAGATAAGGTCAAATGCAAAACGGTAATAATAGAAACTTGTAAAAGAGTTGGGCTGTGTTGTAAAAAAAAAGAAGATTTATGTTTGAAATAAATATTATATTCATAGAGGTGCTGAAAGGTCAAGAGGTCACGTGAAGCTATTGGTTGGATTTTCTTTGCTTTTCATTAGAAATACAGAAATATAGCTTTGTATTTGAGAATATGTTATGATTCAATCATTAAGTGAAACATTTGTTATTCATGTATACATCTATACATATGCATAATTTCTTCGTGAATGAAAGAGATTTTATTTAGATTTCTAATTTCTTTTCATTTTTCGTAAGAAAAAAAAATAATTGGAAAATATATTGTTGACGAGAACTATTTGAAAGCATCCTAAATTCTGAATCCTTTCAGGAGAGAAACAAAAACCTAGATTATTTGCACGATTCCAAAAAATTTCAAAATTTTAATTTATCATTTTGAGATATTGCTGTAGATTTTATTTTATTTAAATTGATAGTGTTGTACGAAGTAAGAAAATTGCTGTTTTCAATCGTATTATTTGTGAACGTTAGGTCTTTTCAATTTAAACATATAATGGTCGTTTTCCTTCTTTTTTTATTGTGTTGCTCAGCTGGTGCTTGGTCATTTTTTCAAATTTGGAGACGTCCAGGAAAGATATCCATGCATTCAGACTTACAATTTCTACGATTTCAGTTGTCATCCTAATCCTAAGTATATCTCAAAACATACACATACATGCACACATACATACACATCACACTAATAGCCATTTTCTGGCCATCGTTATAAATATTTGTGAACTTTGTCTTCTGAATAAAACGAAGTGCATTAATATATCTTTAATTTTAATACATATTGTTTTTGCCACTCCTTAGATCGTTAATAAACGACATAATTTAGCAAAATATAAAGGGGAGGAAGTGAAATTAACATGAAAATCTAAAATTAATTTTAAAGCGAACAAAATTGATGAGAGAGGAATACTTTTCTCTTGCAAAAGTAGATTTTTCTAAAAAATTTCAAGTGCTATATAATTTTTTAAATTCGGATTTCAATTTCAAGGCAAGTTGATATGAATAAATTCAAGTTTTGAAAAAGATGATCTAGGAATTCATTCGGGAATATTTATCGCTTTTCACCGTGTTAAAAGTTTGCTAATATTCAAAACACCATTATCATTTCTCAAAAATTTTTGTCATTTTTCTTTTTAAGATCGCGCTTTAAATGATATATTTATAAGAAAAGAATTCGAATTTTCAACAAAAGTCCATTTCAAAATTAAAAACTACCGTCTAAACAGTATTAAATATTTCAAAAAATCTTCGACAACAATAGTTAACATTTATAAAAATTTTTTTCGAACTTTATCTCTGCCTCTTTTATGAATAATCTAATTTTAAGAAAGAAATAGATAGAATAAAAACAGAAAAGTTTAAAAAAAAGTTACTGGGAGAGGCTGATTAAAAAAAGGTAAAATAGATTTTAACTTTAATTTCATTCCTTGTCTTGCAGCTATTCCGAATTATCAATAACTAATTAATTAGTAATGATAATAATAATAAGCTTTTTATTTGAATTTTTCAAAAATACAGCGAGGGTTGTGGCACTATGTGCTAAAGTTGGAAATTGAAATTAATAAATTCGTTGTGAGCGGTGTTAGCAATTACTGTTGTGTTGAGTAACCAAGGAAATGAATGAGTCGGAAATATTAAATTAAGCCTAAATTGGTAGCATTGGCATTTGTCCTGCATCTTAAATACTATGGATGCCTTGAAAATGTCTGACAAATATTTAATCGTTATTCGCATGAAAGGCCCAAGTGGTAAGCTTTGCTATCTGACTGCTAACTCGTTACCTTAGAACAATTAGGCCTAACTATCACAGACACTTTACTTCAGCAAGAAAATGTCGTAGCATTTTGACCCCATACTATGACTCGTTTTCTTCTTTGATAGTAAATTACAGCTTAGGTTGAGGCTAAAAACATCAATGAGAAAGATTAGCTAAAAGCTGAAGCTCTAGCTAAATGATAATGTATCGTAGTAGGATAAATTTGATTTGATGGAAATATTAATAATCTAAAAGGTAGACAAGCTTAATATTCGATAACATACCGACAACATTAAAAGTGTTACCTTGACGATATCCCGGACAACTGCGACAATATGCCAATATATTGACAATCGATTATATATAATGCTGTATTTGAAAGAATTATTTGCTAACGAAGGAATAGCAAATTGCCAAATTGCCGGTAATTCTTGTAACACAGCAAAGATTACACCGAGAGAAAATTGGTTGGTAAAAGATAGAGGATAATAAAGCATAAACGTTAACGTTATTTTCACAAAAACATTATTGCACAGAAATGCAATTCATTCTTTATTTGAGTATTCAACAAATTTTAACAAAGTAAAGTAAAATCATTTTTTGGGAATTTTTTAAAGGTTTTTTTTTAAAACTATTTTTCAGCTTCATTGCATTTTTCATCACTGTGCAAATGTTTGCTGTTGGAATGTAATGATTGCAGATGGCGCAATTTGCTTGTGTTTACTCACTGGAAAATATTTTGAATTATAGTAACTTCTCTTCCTTTTAAATGGCTCAATAGACCAAAGTCATTCATGATATATTGTACAGATAGTAGTGGTAGTAATAAGTTGGCAGTGATACTAACTTCTGTGACAAGAAAAAAAGTGAAAAACAGATTATGGAAAATAAAAAATCATAGAAAGAATATGAATAAATATATAACAAGCAAAGATGTATAAAACTGACTTGTAAACAACTTTACTCTTATCAGTATTTCTACTTGCAGTCAAATATTAAGGCTAAGGTGTCACCGACATTTAATAAAGTCCTAGGCTTAAGCTTAACATTTAACATTCAATTGCAAAAGAATTATTAAAAAGTAATGGAATAATTGCTTTTATTAATGATTCATTCTTTTTTTTTTTTTTCAGTTAAATTTTGAAATTTTGAAATGTTACTTTTTGTTTCGCTTTGCCGCTATTACCATCAAAACCATTCATTTTGCTAAATGATGGAGAATTTTTTGATGGTATTACCATTGGACGATAATTTAATGGAACATCAATATAATGACGACTTCTAATCTAAAAGTTTCACTGCCCAATTATAATAAATTTAAGCTATTATCCACTTATAAAAGTTTATTATTTTAGCCCAATATGAATTTAGATTAAATTATTAATTTAAATTTATAATTCATAACTGTATATACTACAAAATTTAGTTTTAGTATCATAAAATGATATAAAAGCGACAACATTTCGGTGTTTAACTCCTATAAGTCTAAATTAATAATTTAATTTATGTTTAATAAGATACCTACAGCTTTGCACATATAAACGATGACAAGCATTGCCAGCATTATACCAATAGTAGCACCGATTAAGATGAAAATAAAAATATCAGTGAAACTCATATCAGCAATCTGAGCACTTAATGTATCAAGCGATGCCTTCAAAAACACTTCATTCATTGATTGCAAGGAATATAATGCATAGAAAGAAAAAACTTTTTAGAAGCTAAAGAAATACTAAATGCTGCAAAAAAATTTTCTTACATAATAGTTGCGTGAAAACTAAAGTAACTAAGTAAATAAGTAAGTAATTAGCCAATTATCAAACCATCAGAAAATATCTATGCATATATATATATATGTGTGTGTGTATGAAAGTGTTTAACAAAATTGAATATATTTAATGAAATTTATGCAAAAATTTGAGCAGTTTAAAATGAATAAGAAAATATAAATGAATTTCAGTTCATCAAATACTGTTTATTCATTAGATTTGCTAAAAAGTTTTTATGCAAAGTAAACAATATCAATTGCCTATCTCAGCAAGCAAACTACTAATATCCACTGCTAATAAATTTACAAATACCAACCATAAAAAAAAATGCTTCAATATGTATTTACATGTACATACATACATATATGCAAACAACCACTTCCAAATATTAGCAAACACAGAAATGATATTATCATTAAATTATCTTAAATTTTCTGGAAGAATTTATCATAATTTTAGTTTAATTTTGAAGCACTGAATATTTAGCATATATTAGTTACAATTTACAATAAATTTATTCATATTACAGTAAGTGTGAAATTATTTTAATGCATAGTTGAATAGTTCCTACCTTTTACTTTAAAATAGAAGAATGTAAGGAATATGTAAATTTTACTCCTATCAATGTTTAACTTGTCTTCAAGAAATTTGTAAGATTTTAGTGAGAAAGACATGTTCCATAATATTTAATATATAACAAAAAATTGGCTGATGTCTTATTCCAAAGAAATTTATTATTATCATCTTGAGATCAATTAGGTTAATTTGTATCGAACTTTTGCTAATTTGATATCATTAAATATAAATTTAAAAAGTGAGTACGTTTTATTTTACTGCACATAAATAATTTTTTATGCAAAACTAAAATATCAAATATAAAACAGCACCATTCTAACTAGAAGTTTCGTTGTCATATCCTATGTCAATAGCCAGGTGCAGTTCGCGGTGGTGGACAATGACCGCAACCACCATCGATACCTAAATTAGGGAGTAAAGGAAAATATAAAAATCTGTCTTTTAAAATCTTCAGAATTTCTAATTATTTAAGATTTTAGAAATTTAGTGCTCCAGAACTGACTAATAAAGAATGCTTTATTTCCTGAGAGAATTGCAACCCAATTTTTTAAATAGTTATCTAAATTAATTTCCAAACCATGTAAGCCGTTCGGTCCTGGCAATCCTCGTGGTCCTTTTTTTCCACTTTTGCCTTTTCTTCCCTTCTGAAACATATATCCGGTATGATTTTGAAGAATGTAGCCAAAGAATAAATAATGAATTTCGAATAGCAATCTGCAAAAGTCCCAAATAACTTACCTCGCCTGGTGGTCCTTGAGGTCCAGGAATAGTCTGTCCACGATCCCCTTTTGCTCCTTTCATACCAGGTTGTCCGATTGGTCCTGGAGCTCCTGGAATACCAGCAGGTCCTTTTATTTTAATAAGTTTTCCATCCTGAAATGTGATAAGATTACTGGAAAATTTTATATTGGATTGGAAAATATTGCATAAATCATTAGTGCTAACCAACTATCATTTGGACCGAACTCAATTTTTAACCAGTAATATATAATGAAGTCAATTACAAACATACAGAATATAACTTACTTCTCCTTTTTTGCCCTTAGACCCGACTGGACCGGTTTTTCCCATTGAACCGGGTTGCCCAATCATGCCACGAGTTCCTTTTTTCCCTGAAAAGTATTTTTTAGTAAATGTCAGTCGGCACCATCCATTGCTTTAATTCTTACTTACCATCATGACCTGGTTCTCCCGTTTCACCACGCGGTCCTGGTGGTCCCTTATTACCCGGTTGTCCTGGTGGTCCAGGTGGACCAGGCAAACAAATTATGCAAGGTTCCGTTTTCAAACCATCATACGGCATTACGTTACCACTTCTTCCAGAATTTCCATGCTATCAAGAAAAGATGTTAAAATCTAAACAAAAGATGAAATTAGAATATTTTCAAATAATCTCCAATTATCATAACATTTTGAAGGAAATGAAACTTAAGAAATTTTTTTTTGAAATTCAAAAAAAAAGGCTTTAACAATACTAGGTTTATCAATTTATTGATCCTAAAATAATAGCTACCTTTCCGGGTTGTCCATCCCTACCATCCTTGCCATCATTCCCCGGTGGTCCTGGTGGCCCAGGTGGTCCATGTTGACACATGCAACGCATCATATGTATTACCACCTCTTTATCCGGCTGTGATGGTGATGGCGGTTCAAAAACGGGCTATAATTTTTAATTTCAATTAAGTTTAGGAATCTTTCAAAAACTTCCACAATTCAACTTGATATTCTACTTTTCTTTTCATAAACACGAAAATGGAACCGCTGCTGCAGGTGCACCATAAGCGCCATTTCCACCTGCATCACCAATACCATCATCTCGCCATTGTCCAAATAACCAACCACGTTTCTCACGTCTTCTCGTTTGACGTTGATCCCGAAGAGCGTATATTTCGGACCACATATCTTGAGAACTCATCTAAAAAAAATGCATTTCCATGGCGCAAACTTTCTAAAATCAATAAACTGTACAGCAAATTATCTTACTTTACAAAATTCTGTTCCATCCAGAATTTTCGAATGCAAATGATGAGCATAGCTGTAGAGTAATGGCACAGTCAAGATTGCTAATGAGACGGAGAATATTGATAATGTTACTGCAGCAATTGCTATATGTCGAAATTGCCTTTAAAAAAATGTACATATATAATGAAAAATTAAATTTTGATAGAATCTATTCAATCTAATATTTTTAAAATTATTTACGAAATGTAATGTTTGTGTAATTTAGATTACAGATTTGTATACCGAAGAAGGTACCTGTGTACATCCAATTCCATCTTTGAAAACAAATTTCTGATTATAAACTAACAATTGATAACAGCAATCCTTTAAATAGGGTACACTTTGGGAAATTTGAAGATTGCAATGAATATATTTGTCATAAATCGGGGCAGAGAAATATATAAAATTAACGGTAAAATGGCATTGCTATTTAATAACATCCAATTATAACATATAGAGATTCAGGATGATCTTATCAGTGAGTGACCTAAATTTTTAAATGACATTTTAAAAATTTATGATATGTGTGAAATTTGATAAATGATATAATAGAATAGTTATGTTCAAGAAGATGAAAAGAACATATGACCTCTCCGTTCATCTGTTTCATTCATTCATTCAGCTCTTTATCCTGAAAATTATGAGACTGTTCTAAAATCAAAGCAAAGAAAAGAAAATGGAAAAGAACGAAAATATGAAAGATTTGGATGTTATATTACTTTTCATATTGATTCCAATTTCAGAACTTTTTTTTCCTTTTAAAACGAATTTTAAAAAGGATTTTTTTCCATAAATTTTATTGTATTATTTGTGGAAAAATTTTTGTATAATTTTTTTTCCAGTCAGTGACTTTTTCTTTTGTTATTAAATCTTCACCGATTTATAGAAGAAAATTTTTCAGCTTTCGAAATATGTTTACAAAATAGCTGTGAAACCAGCTATCAATAAATTTTGAAAACTTTTTTTGGGATATAGGTAGTGGTGTTAAATTTTGATATTTTATATAATTATCAATATTATTCAAAAGACTTTTAGATGATTCTATATATGAGGTGATAACAGTGATTGATAATACTCAATTCGTTATCATTTCGATCATGATATAAGCACAACGAAAGAATTTGTAAAAATTTTTTGAGAAATCAGTGTGAAATAAAATGAAATTCAAGGACATTCCAATCTGTAGCATTCGTTTCAACTTCAAATAACAGCAACGACAATAATAATAACGGTAATAATATCAACGACAACAATAACAACGATAACAACAACGATAGCATAAACAATAAATAATATTAAGCAATTCTGTATCGATCTTACAAAAAATATAAAAAAGACTCTCTGATTGTTGTGATGCGACAGATGTATGTACCTCTTTCTCTTCTTTGATGTGCAAAATATGCCGCTGAAGCACCAATGCCTTCCTTCTCTTTTCATATTTTATTTGAATGACATGACTTTTGTTTAAAAATTTAAGTGTATTTTTACTTTTGAATATTAAAATTTAACCTTAGCAAGTAATTTCAGTCATTGCTACAGTTTAGTCATTTACTGCATAAATGGTACAAATTTATAAATTACGCTAATGAATGCCATCGAAGTTTTTAGCAAATGATAACGATGAAGCATACCTGAAACATTTGCTTGTGCTAAAATCATTTCAATTAGTTATTTTAATCTATTCAGTCGATAATATCATCTAAAGAAATTTTATTGCAAATATAATTTTTTTGTTTTTTTTTTTTTTTTTTACTTTTGATAATTCTAATTTAATTTCTATAAAATAATTTAATTTCTTATATATTTCATTTCAGTTAGTAGTGAGATAAAGATGTAAAGATGTAAGGATAAGTAAGGATAATTGAAATGATGTCGCGCAATTCAGGGTCAATTGGATTATGCAGATAATCCCTCATCATCATGAGAATCATAACGTTGCCTAATATATTCCATTCATACCCCTTAGTAGCTACCGGTATGAAAAGCTACCGGTATCTTCATTCAGGTAGCTCTTGCTATCGAGTATCTCATCATCCAGGTAACAACTCCTCGTATCGGTTACTTGTTTTTCAGTAATCGTACTTTTCAATAAATCAAAAAATTTATTCTAGTCGAGTTTTGCTTATTTAATGTATTTGTTTCTTCCACGTGATTTTGATATTTCTTGGCTTATTGCAATTGGTTCTCGTTATTTATTTATTTATTTATCAAGGTAACTCCTCGTACCGAACCTACCATCACCACACCACGACCACCACCACCACCATCACCATGCTATCAATCGATATCATCATAAAATGATAGATGGATGACACATTTGGTGATGGTATTAGTAGTAGGGGAGGAGAAGGAAGGAAAGGGTAGAAGCAGCGTCTTTTCGAGCTCCTTTTTTTCCTCCTCTTTCATCCGATATGTCAATGATGATCGCTTACACTCTGTCTGCTCATACCAATTCATTCTAATTTAATGCATTCATTCTAAACCTCACAATGGCCATATATCGTTAAATTTACGACTCTGTTTTTGGTTTAGTTAAGATTGGGCGGGGGAAAGGGGTACAGGAATTGAGGTCGATGGGTAAGCCAATGACCTCACTGCTTTCTAAACTTGGAATCAATGTCAACCCTCTGTCATCTTATGTCTCTCTTTTCATCTTGATTATTTATTTATACAATATTTTGTAGATTTTGTCATTACGGTTTCCTTTAGAAACGAATTGAATTCGGCTTATTCCTTTCCCTTCTAATTATCATAACATGTAATCAGTTACCTAAAGTAGAAGTAAATTACAATCAATTTCTAAATGTTTTTTTTTTTTTTTAAAATCTCGTAGGGATTTACAAATTTTGTTCTATAAATTTGTACGAAATAATTTCAACAATAATCAGCTAGCTATTGGCAATATTTTTATTCAATTGAAACACTTAGAAAGCAGTTTATAACGGAAATTTACGAAATACACTAATCATTTTTGAACAATGCGATCACCACCAATCGATCTGAATACACTCTCGACGGAATTGCATAAAATTGCACAAGCCAAGTAAGTTACCTTCGATACATTTTGAATAGTGATTGTTATAAACTTAAATATTGAAAGTTTGAAGAAGTAACAACAGACAGTAATTGATATGAAAAGATATGATAGTCATAAAATCCGGAATTGATTTCCATAGCTATAAATCACGATAATAATAGTTCCTTCTGTCCCTAGTTGCTAATAGGGGCGGTTTGATAATTTGATAGCAATTAGCTACCTAAATATAAGCTTCCTTTACTAATAATCATTGATCATCGTAAAGATAACGGTTTTTGATCGAATGACTAATCTTTTCGTTTCAGCTTATCTCTCCATGTTATCATTTTTGTATAATAAACAAAAAATTACTTTGAAATATTTTGTAAAAATAATTGTCAATGTTTAGGCAAAGTGTAATCACTAATTATTGTAACGATTATAATAATGCTATGGTTATACAGATAAGCAGTCAGAATTATGAGATCAAGGCATGATAAACTGATAGATGACACCGATAAGGATACTATTATGGTCACAATTGCACTGATAAGCTTTATGATAATTATAATCATGCTAGTTCAGGACGAAATTGGAAGATTTCACGGTGAAGCGCAACGAACTATTAGCTGAATTAGCCGATTTTCAGCAGTCTAAAAAATTTATCGAAGAGACACAAAAAACGATCAGTGATTTAAATGAAGAAAAGGATGCCCATAGCGAAATTATCCAACAAATTAATATGGTTGATTTATTTTAATGGATGTCGATATCTTACTTTTTATATAGTAGTATAAGATTTATAAGATTACAGGTACTTGTAAAATTAGGCACCAATAGTCGATCACTTCTTAATCAATCGAGATCGAGAAATAGAGATCGAGGAAAAGGGAATAAGTAATAGTTGTAATGAATCTTCACGAGTTATCAGAATACCAGAAGAGTACAGATATTCATTATCCAAGATAATAACCACTAATTCTCTAGTGATCACCTTTTTTTTTTAAAAAAAAAATCATATCTTTGCTGATTTGGAAGAGATATTCATTGACAGTGACGTTCCTTAAAGATCCACTTATATTTTTAAAAAATATTAAAAAAGAAAATAAAATTTGAATGACATAATTTTAGAAATTTATATTTAGGATAAACAAGAGTTGGAAAAAATTATGAATTCAGCTAAGCAAGAAAAGCGACAAATGGAGGAAAGTATTAGTCAGAAGTATGAGGAGATATTTCGATTGCTGGAACAGACGAATGAGTTATCGCGGGAAAGTGGCATTAGTGAAGAAGATCTCATTTCACCATCAATTATACCACCGAATAAAATCGCTCCGTTAGCTTTAGCATAGTTTCATTCATCTGAAAGGTCTTATGGAAAGTTCAAGTAATTAAAATATAAATTTTACTTAGTGTTTGTAATCTTATTTGATATGGTTAGGTTAAATTTCTCAGACGACTTCTTTGTATAATGCAAATTCTCACTCCTAACTCATGTTGCTCAAACTTGTTAAAACAATATTCAATCATCATAAGTGTCAAATAATGTGAATTTTCCAGGAATATTTCACCTGCTGGGTCATTAGCTGCTACAAGTACAGGTATACCACCTCTATTGCGTCATTTTAAGGTGAATTCAGTACCAGCTGTTGTACAGCGTGCCATGTTTAATTTTGATTCCATTCTACTGCAAGCAGCAGCACCAACAATGGGACGACCGCCAACTATGCATCATGCTTTCCCGACTAGTTCATCACTTGCCAAAGTTGACCATCAATCACCGCCCATGAAGGTTGTTTTCACTTAATTAATTTACCACTTAGGTAAAGAGGAAGTGAAAGAACGATGGGAAATTATTATCCAAACCGTTAATAGTTTACTTTTTTAGTAATTAATTTGCTTATCGATAATTTATGTTAGTAATTAAATCTTTGTTCTGCTTTAAACTACTACCTTATAATTTACATTAAAGTTTCTAATGTATGTTAAATGTTGCTACATTGACGCTTATACTACTAAAGTAATACTTTTATTTTTTTTTTTCAGACATGTCAGTCCTGTTTCCAACAAATTCATCGTAATGCTCCTATATGTCCAATGTGTAAAAGTAAAAGTCGATCAAAAAATCCGAAAAAACCGAAGAGAAAGGTGACAGAATAAAATTCATTAGTTGTATTTTTTTTTTTTAATTTATGTATAAAATAAAAAAGATTATAAAATGTTTATTGCTTGATAATATAAACGTACCATTGTAAAATATGTTGTATAAACAAAAAAAAAAAATCTTTCCTCACAGGCACACGAAATAAGTATATAAATATAAGTATTATCAAATATAAATGTTTAAATAACTGACAATTTTCTACAAAAAATTCAAAAGATTTAAAAAAAATCAAAATAAATTGTAATCATTAGTAAATATCAATTATAGATAGTTTTATAAATGTTACATTTATGTAAAAATTATACATGCATTACATACTGATGAGTCATGCATTTAATTATAGCGTCAAATCGTACTAAAAACTAAGCATACGTACGATATACGCTACGTGTACTTTTCTCTCTTCTTTTTCTAATAATTCAATATAATGGTAATAGAATGTAATCAAATGTTTCGTTCCAATGTGTTATTTACATTTTTTCCTTCTTTTGATATTTCACTTTTGCCATTTTCATTCGAACAACTATTTCTTCTTTCATATCAGCACCAAACGGTTCTTCCCACATGCTTTCAACCAATGTATTATCCTTATCATCATCATCATCGTTGTTGTTGTTGTTGTTGTCGTCGTTGTTGTCACTATCGTCATCATCATTATCATCATCATCATCATCATTATCATTATCATCGTCATCGTCATCGTTCAAGCATGTCTGCTACATGACATAAAATCATCTGCATAAAATGCTTCTATCATTCATCCATCCATCCATCCATCCATTCATCTGCATCAATTTATTCGACACATCGCAACAACATTCCTACAATGTGCACTACAACGGTCATCGTTGTCCTCACATTCATTTTATCACACCTATTTCATTTCATTTCATTTCTTTCTTTCTTATTTTTTTCTTTTTGTCTTTTCAAAATTTCAAATTTACGTTCTCATATCCGAATTTTGCTTTAAAACATTTTGCAATTAATTATTTCTCACAATTTGACATATATTTATTGTTTACATGTAAAACTAAAATAATCTCATATTCATTCCTTTTTTTCTTTTTGTAATAATTTAATAATGTAAAGCATTTTAAGAGCACAGTTTTGAAAAACGAAGAAAAAGCAAATAAGATAAACAAACGTACGTGAATAATTTAAGTGATTATTGTAAAGTATGCATGATTCATCATTATATTAACAATTTTCATATTTATCATATGCTTAGTTTTTCTTTTTTTTTAATTTCAAATTGAAATTAAAAATTTTCTTTTCTTTGTTCATCATTAACGACGACAAATATCTGCAGCGTAAAAACGTGTACTGGACATTGTGGAATTGTCATGCTGCATAACTGATGAATCTGACGGTTTTAAGTAAAGAATTATGCAAATTATCAACAGCAAAGTAATGCTTACTTACATTATTATTTATGAAGGATTTATTAGAGAGAGGGAAAGAGAAGAAGAAGAGGGAGAGGTGGAGGGAAAGAGGACACTCTTTTCTCTATTTTAGGATGGTTATAAATATTCTCTTTAGGAAAAGATTGTTGATTCAAGTTTTTGGCATAAGAGAAAATATTGCAACTATTATTGATGTTTGCGTAGCTTTAAATAATGCGAATATTTAAACAAGAAGGCCTAAAATTTAAAATCGCATAATTAATTAGTCAAAGGAATGAATAGATAAGGTAGAATAGTTATTGATAAAGTAATCGGGCAGTAAGTAAAGTAATTGAATTTGTAATAAGAAAAATAGGAAAATAAGTTAACTGATATAATTGCAGTCAAAAAGTAAACGAATTCACTGGAAGATTGCATGAGTTACGTGCTGCACTCAATGAGCTTCGAGAAATTTGCATGTTTATTACTCATTGTGAAAAATTAAGCGCTGAATTAGAAAGTGAACGTCGATCACACGCTGATGAGCTGCGACAGATTAATCAAGTAAGTGTTGAAGGTTTAATTTCAAATTAAAACTTTTACTTTTCTTTTATATGAGTAACAAATAAAATGAATACTGATGGACCTATTCAATCCCTCGAAGTAATTCTTTTCTTCGTTTTGTATCAATGATTGATTACTTTAAAAAAAACAATATATTAAATTCATAAATTTAACCTTTTGAAATTTGCAATAATTTGCGTAAAAATGGTAAACAATCTTTACTGCCGAAATTATCTATCGATGCTTTAATTTGATCATTCGGCCTGGGACTTTAAAAATATTTTAAAAATAAAAAAAAAAGTAATCTTCATACTAGGTAACCGGCATCATTCTCGAATTTTACATAATTTATAGCTCTTAATGTTATATTCTATTTTATGAAGTCGTTAATACCTTTTCAGGATATAAATCATTTGGAAGATACTTTCAAAAGTCTGAAAAATGGAAATGATGCTAAAAAAGATAGTATCGCGCAAAAGTATCGTGAAATTGAGAGAGATTTGAATCGTACTAATGAAATTTTATGCGAAAGCGGTATTTCCGAAACAGATTTGCTAACAAATGAAATACTTTTTCCATCACAATTTGATGAGTACGAAATATAAATTTTTGTATGCAATAAATATAATATTATGCATTTGGCTGACTTTTTTTTTTTTGAAAAATTTTAAATTCTAGGACGGATTATAGAATATGATTTGCTAGAGAATAAATTGTTATGGATGTCTTAACTTCTCACATTCTAACTAGTTATTATGAAAACTCTAAATTTTAAAATTTTCTTAACTGATATTGACTTAAAATTGTAATTTCTTAGTTTTGCTTACCAAAATTTCATAAATTGCTCTTCAGAGTGATCGATAACAACACTACAAATCATTTGGCCTTAACAACACCGCTTGTTCTGAATCAGTTATCGCATCTTTCATTCCTAGAGATGCTAAATCGTCATCGAAATCATATTTTGGAAGCTTCCGATCGACTTTTGTGTACATCCGGTGGTGGAACAACTACAGTTACACCTTCTATAACTGGCATTATGTCAGCTATAAGTGAATCAGCTAAGATGAAAGTAATATTTGCTTGTTATTAGCTGCTCCAAAATATCATTTAAATAATTTTGAAAAAAAAGCAGTTGAAGAAATAAAGTTTTATTAAACGATCATTCAATGCAATTATTAGAATCGAAAAAGCGATCAATGATTCAGTGACACAATAGTTTATCAATGATCAATGATAAAAAGAAATTAGATTCAGCTTTTGTGAAAATATATCATTTCAGCATTGCTTCAAAAAGAAAAATGTCAACTTCAATTTTTTGAGAATAGTTTTTTTTATCAATTTATGAATAGCTACAATTGATATCATTTCTTTGCTTCTCAACTTTTAAAAAGAATTTTTTTGAAACATTGACATTTCATTTAAGGAGATTTGAAATTTGTTCAATTTTTTTAGTAGATTACTTAGTGATGGATTTATTTGCGAAATGAAATATCAGTGTTTCAAAAAATGATGTATTCTTTATAACGCATACAATAATCCAATTTATTCCTTCATTTCATTTTTCTTATTCCGGAAATGGTTGGACAATTGCAGAAGTGTCAGTCCTGTGAACAACTCATACATCGAAATGCGCCTATATGTCCACGTTGTAAGGCGAAAAGTCGATCGAAATATTCAAAAAGATTGCGAAAATTTGAGTAGAAAGATTAAAATATTATTGTTAGTGTTAAACATTGCTTGCTTTTTTCTAATATTCAATTATTATTTCATTTTTCACATACATTAATTTTTCATCTCACCTGGCTTATTTCTAAATGTAAATATGTTAAATGGAAATGAAAAAGCGATAAAAAGAAATACGAAAAACAGTAGAAAAGCGGTATTTTAATTAAGAGATTTTCAGAACTGATAATAATTTACATTGTGCAGTAGGACAAATGGAACCAATTCTCGAAATGATTAGTTACTGTGTATGAAAGCTACCTGTTATCTTGAGTCAATTTATGATAGGTAACAGAATTTGAAATAGCGAAGTAAGCAAGCTTTGATAAAGTTACATGTCACTGATCTAAATTTGATGCTTAATTCTAAATGGTGCCTAGATGAAATACAATTTCCAATTATTCTCATGAATCTCGCACTTTTCTTTTCTTTTTTTTTTTTTCAAAATAAATTTTATTTTATCTCCTTTCCTTAGCTAACCAAATATATTATTTATTGATTTTTCACGTTTTGAATTCAAAAGAATGGAAATTTTTGTTTCATATTTCTTTTCTCATTGGATATATCTTATTTGATAATAAAAATAAATCATATAAATTTGCAATTACATGAACTTTTGCAGTGACAATAAAATTTTCTGAAATGAAATCAAATTTAGCATCCAAAAGACTAGCAAACTATCATTTATTATCGTTGCTGTTCTTTGTTGATGTTTGATTTCGATTCGGTACCACTGACTAATAATAAAGCATATAGATAGGAGTATTAGAGATAGATAGAAACATATATGATAAGTGTATGTGATAAGTGATTCAGTAAATGATTATCACATAATGCCAAATTGAAAGTTTAACGAGAACAGAAAGTGAAATATAATTGTTTTAAGAGAGAGAGAGAATGTATCCTATATTTCACATGTATTTGTATAAGTATAAATGACATTCTTTATTTTAGAATTGTATACTATCTCTAATATTATTAATCTTATAATCAGTCTAATTAAATCATTTTGCTATGTAATAAGCAAGATTAATCCTACTGAAATATAGGTGATACCTTAACAAAGGCAACAAGGTAAGAGTATGCAGACGAGAGATAGTCATAACTTGGCGATCGAGCAGTTGTCGCATCCGAAGATTGTGCATAGCATATCGAAGCACTCTTGAAAAATTACACTAATTCAATGAAATTTATTGGAATTAAATTCAAAAAATAAACACCTAAAATGAATTATGAACAGGTAAAGTCTGAATAGGTATGCTTGTAACTTACGTACATATTGAATTACATATAAGTAACATATTGATTTTAAGAAGAAATTTACTTACTTTTAAAGACTTTAAATTTTATATAAAATTTTTAAAACATACTCTGCTCTCCATAGATTGCATTGAAAGATCTTTTGATGGCAGATTATCATTTATATCTTCTGTCTGCAACATTTGCTATTAGTTGAAATATCAAATTGAAATTGTTAGATTTGAAAAATGAAATAAATAAATTGAATTTCGTTCGGATAATTATTCTAGCTACTTTGAAAATTAACTATTATTTTAATCTTTTTGCTCTCATTGAGTTTACTTGGAAAGAAATTTAAATTAAACAAATGATTCTAATAAACTTTGCCAGAATCCTCCCTATTTCAATTTACTACCAATTGTTGGTTTTCTTTAAAAAAAAAAACGTAATTGGATGATTTGCATAAATTTTCAAAATATCATACTCGTAAAAGGTCATCAAAACGCCAACGTCTATTTTTGATGTGAAATGGTGTTAATGCATTTTGTTGAAAACGACCAGCTTCAATATGTAAGTCTTGATAGATCGGTGCTAGTTCCACGTGTAATCTAGGGAACATATCACGTCGTGATAACCTCAACGTCAACTCGATGTCATCTCGAGGACTTGCGAAAAAATTCTCCACCACTTCATCTATGCACTATAATTCATAATAAATTGCAACAAAAAAATCATTTTTAAAAAGAGAAAAAAGAATGATATAATTAAAAAGCAAATAATTTAGCTCTGTAAATTAGAGGTAAGTAATATAATAGTTGAGTTCTAGTATTATCCAATGGTCAACTGTTGGTCAAAGGAACTTATGCTTTCGCTATCAATGATGATGCTTGTTAGCAATGAGAAAACAAATTCGGATTCAAATTTGAATAAGGCATCTCTGATACTTCTTGAATGATAATCTAAGCTTTTAATTACATTTCATTTTTTAATTTCTTCCTTATTTTTTTAAACAATTCTCAAACATAAAATGAATTATAAATTAACTCAAATAGAAAGAACTTTTGTTTTAAATTCAAATTACTATCAAATCCTAAAAACTTCATTTTTTTTTTATCTTCCTTCAAATACATCATCAGCATATGACATTTTTTTGAAGCACAATAATTTAAGTAATTAATTTCAGGTCTTGTAGAAACTTTGCTCCTTCATACCTTCTTGATGAGAACAGTTTCGTATAGTCCCCATAATGGCGTAACCGGAATCGCTTTCTGTTTTTCGGATGGCACTTCCTGTTCGGTAATCCGACGATCTAATTCACTATCACTGATAACTTGCATCTTAGCTATGCTTGAATCATCTTTCAATAACTGCTCCGTGGCCATTTTATGCAACTGCGTATCGGTATTTTGTATCTGTAAATTAATTTTTCTATTTTAAATGCTAAAATTTTGAACCAATAAGTCCTTAACTCAGCAAAAGTTTTAAATTCCTATTACACATATATAAATTAAACTTAGTTATAATTATCATTATTTAATTAAAACTTTATCGAAGTACTATTGACTGCTTCATATAAAATTTTTTATTTACGTATGAAGTAGATAAGGTAAATGTATTATCTATAATTCTTGGTAGTATATTGAGTATTATATTCATATCTCAGATTATTACTGCTTTTTTTTCTTTGAACTTTTTATTAAACTGCTAAGTGATTAGCAGTGTTCAGTATGCAATGTTTGAGGTAATTTGGGTTAGCTTATTCGTATTATATTATTATTTCTTATTATATTATTCTTATTCGTATCATTAGAAACATTTCACATTTTACTTATTTACGGTCTGTTTACGGTAATTTTGTGATGAATAAATTTTTTTTTTTTTTTTTCCTGAATGGATCTTACATATTTGCTATTAATCTTAGCTTTTTCCAATGATTCATCATTCATTGAGTTGATGGAATCGTAGGAAATTGTCCCAGAACTTTGTGAGTATGTGCCAATTAGATCAGCATCATAAGTTTGCACATCGTTTACCTTCGTTATCACTGCAGTATTGTTGATCTCTTTTTCTGATTTCTTCTCTTTCGTTGACATTTTCTCTGATATTTTTGCTTCTGTTCCTTTTTCCTGTAAAACATTTGAAAATGTATAAATAATGCATAAGTATATGAATCATTTCAATTTATAAATCTAAAATTAATAATAAAATTACTTTCCTAATAGTGCTTTTAGTTAGCCTTGAAATTATTGCATAGAAAGAAGATTTTACAATATGCAAATATGATTCTAAAAATTTGTGAATAACTCAATTGGCAATAATTTTATTAAAAAAAAAAAAAAAAAACTTTGCTAATTATCTAAAATCTTTTATGGAACATAGACCAAATGCATTAGTAAAAAGTTTTAAATATATTTGAGGAGCAAATATATTTAAAAGTTTATAAATGGATAAACTTCAGTATAGTTTTAAAAATTAAAAGAATTCAAGCTTGAATCAAGCATAGGCCTGCATGCTTTACATCAATATTTTCAACTACAATTAATATCCTAAAATTGATCTTTCAAAAGAGATAATCAATTAACTGCTCCATTAATTCATTAATATTAATTAATAAAAAAAAAAGAAAAAAAAACCTTACGGTATCACTTGAAGATGTTTGAACGGTTGCATTTTCGAAAGATTCCGGTGTAGCATATAATTCCTGTCGCATAGCAGAAGTTAAATTTGCCATTGGTTTCTCAGGTATCAATACCTTGACATCTTTCTTCTTCTTCTTCTTCGATTTAGGCATATAAATGACTTCGTTCTCTTTTTCTGCTCAAAGTGAAAAAAAGATATGTTAATTTTTTTTTTTTTTTGATTAATAAAATCATTTGAAAATGAAATTACTTTGAACAAAAAATATGAAATAATGAAATAAACAAAAAATCAATATTATATGTTTTTATAATTTCATATTCTATGCATGAAGAGATATTTGCATAATTTAGAGGAAAATTTAAGTCAATTTCAACAATTATTCTTTTAGCATATATCATTATACACTGCTTGATAATGCATATTGCAACATAATTTTATTCATTTTTGTTAATGATAATAATGAATGTTAGAAATTATAAATTAAACAAATATGTTATTTCATATTTATTCCAAATTTATTTTTAAAATTTTTTCCACTAATTTGATACTGACATTTGCCTAAGGTGTAATATAAATTATTCATTAGTGCAATGACTGATTTAGATTGTTGCATTAATGTTTTTGAAATTCTCTATAAAATTTATGAAAAAAAAAAAAAAAAAAAAAAAAAAAAAACAGAAATTTGTTAAGATTGTAGCTTTTTTATTTGTTAAATAATAATATTTGGTAAGTTTAGAATTTTTTAAATTAGTGATTGTTTATTATGTATCGTATAATTGTTCTACGCATTGTATTTTTTTTTTTTTTTTTTGTTAGCAGAAAAGAAAAAGTTGAAATGTACCATTGAAAAAGGAACAAAATGATATTTCGATAATTCGAATAGCTTTTAATCTTCACTGAATGTAATAATCGAACATATCCCAGAATAAATATTGAAAAATTTTTAGGAAGAAATATTTTCCACACAATCTTAATACATCGAAGTTTGACAATTAGAGCAAAAATCGTTATCATCATTATCATCACCATCATAATAGTGATAGTAATCGTAATCATCATCATTATCATCATCATCATCATCATCAATTTGTCAATAATTTATCGAAACATCTAAGAGGAATCTAAGAAAATTTTACTACTATAATTCAATAAAAACTTCAGTTTAACATCTTTTCCCATAAACATAACATGATAATTTGAATAAATAATAAATATTTCCTTCATTTTCTCCTTATATAAAGCAATCGTTGTATTCCGGAAAATTTTCCGGAATATCAACATTTTATCACTAATATCTTTCAAAAATTTCAATCAATGATAATATAATTGATACAACTACCAATCGTATACGATATTATCACAGCGAAGATAAATTCATTAACGAATGATACAACTGTTCTCCTTTATAATTAATAAATTACGGTAGGCAGGATAAGAGAGATCAGAGAATGAAAAAGAGTACGAAAGGAAAGAGTTAACTTTTTTTTTTTTCTTCTCTTCTATTTCTTTTCAAAAAAATTTTTCCTTCACTTTCTATTCCTATCTCTCTCATACCTCCCAATAATACATTATCATTAGTTCTTCTTACTATCATATACTAACATCGATAATCTTTCAAACTTTTCTTCTCTTTCCTTCCTTCAATTTATTTCTTTCTAAACTTTTCATTTTCTCTCCACAAAAACAAAAAGAAAAGAAAAAAACAAATATTTTCTCTGTTTCTAAGTTTGATAAAAAAAAGAATAAACAAATTGAAAAGTTATATAATTTATTATTTTTAAATTAAAATTGTCGATAATATGCGAAATTCCCTCAAAAATTTTTACAATTTGCTATTTACTTCACTTTCATCATTTGATTCATTTATTGACACAATAAATCATCAAAAATATATTTTCTCTTTTTAATTTTATTTTTTGATTTTTGGTCTTTTGCAAAATTTTTAAAGCTTTATCAAAATGAATTTTATATCATTTCTTCTTAGCATATGTCACTTTATATTCATTCTGATTTTAATTCCAACACACTTTTTTTAGCAACAACAATACTTCAACATTCAGTAAAATGCATTTTCTGAGATAACTATAAGGTTTTTTCTTTGCAGTAAAAAAAAAAAAAGACGAGAAGTCTAGGTTAATATATAGGTTATAAGTTAGCATCCATCAATAGAATGTTATACCAAAATTATTTCTTCAGAACCATCAAATCTTCTAGACGGTTATTTTATTTTAAATCAATTGTTGAAAGGCAATAAAGAAAAATATAATTGAATCTTTTGGCCGAAAATTTGCATTATCGGAGGAGGAGGAGAAAGATTCACATTAGTATTTGAATTTTAAAATGATGCGCATTTGTCCTCCCTTTGAAAATGCGGTCAGATGACACTCTCTCTCCTTTTTTATTGCAGTTTTTTTATCAATCAGGACTTCATCAATGAAGTAAAGTGGTCGTCGATATCTGCTGCTGCTGCTGCCGCTACTGCTGTCTAGGAGGGGCACCTCAGATTGATTGGTGACAGGATGTGTCCCTGATACCCGTCCGTCATCTTGATGAAAAATCCTTCTTTAAACCTCATCGTGTCCACCAACACCACCCCGTATCAGGCTGTACCGCGGTAGATCGCTACTGCATAGTGATTTTTTCACTCTCAATAATGATGAAAAGAAAGAAGTGAGCTTTGAACAGGAGCAAATAAATGGCTGCAAAGAGATTTTGTTGGTTAGTCAGTCCAGCAGAGAATCAAATCAACCACCTTCTTCTCTTCCTAACATTAGAACCTTGGCGATGACACTGTCAACCTAAAACTCTCCCATCAAAGTTTCACATTTCCTCAACTCATCTGCAACTATCTTAAAATACGAACATTTCATCTCTTTCAGCAAATATCAGTAAGTAATTTTTGAAATTAAATTCCACTATTTTTATTATGAAAACTCTTACGTAGAGTAAAAAGTAGTGAAGAGATTTTAGCAATAAAATCATCAATTCAACTTCTCTAAACCACAATCTGTTAAAATTTCAATTTAGGAATCTTTATTCAATTTCAACAATGGATGAATTTTTTTCCACTTTGCTACAAATCCAAAAAAAAATCATCGATGTTTGCGCCAGTAATCCTTATGGAGATTTTAACAATATTTCTTCAGTACTAATAAAATGAAATCGAAAAATTCTATAACACTCAACAAGAATTTTAGCTACAGACCGACTGATATAATTCCCGAGTATTCTCGCATTTCATTTTAGTATATCAGAATTCATAATCTTTTTGTTGATTTCATATCGATGAATAATGAAATCAATCATTTATAGCCATCTTTGTAAATGAGTGGCACTGCTAACGATTAAGTTTGTAATGTTGACAATAAAGAGTTTCATATGCTTTGAATCAAATTTCACTAGCATTTTTGGAATGTTCGATTTTCATTCAAATACTGCAAATGGTGTTGTTGAAGAGACAAATAGTAGCAGCTGAATTTCAAAAATATGCTTAATTCATGTTTGGTCAACTACACTTTACTAACCAAAAATAAAAACTTCATTAAACATTTTTCAAGATGAAAAAAAAATTGCGCAAATTCCTCAACATTGATAGCGAAATTGTTAATGTTATTCTTCAAAAATTGCAGATAATTTGCCCAGAAATTAAACCTATTTTTAATGAGTCTTCTCTAATTCATTTTAATCACTTGCAATTTTTACAAACAATGTTCTTTCTTCCTTTCTAGCAATATACCAGTTTGATATCATTAAGAGTAGACGAAAGCAATGTATATGACAGATTCAAGTCGTTGTAAAAAAGTTTATGCACAAAAGAAACATACAAACCTGACAGCACTAGTTATCAAAATATTGGACTAAAAATTCGACGCCACAAATCCTCTCCGCAAATATTACATCCTGAAAATTGCATCATACCGATTGATTGAGAATCGTGACATTGAATTTGAAATTTGCACCCTTTACCTTTATGGTAGCTTATCAATTCAAACTTCATGATTTTTGAAATTCTTCAAGATAATAACAATGAATAATGCAAGAAATTGGAAAAATTAAAAAAGATAAGCAATAGAAATAAGAAATGAATACTATCACAGCAACAATTCACTATGAACTTTAAACTTTACCATTTCAATTTTAATTATATGAAATGATACAGTACGATGAGGATGAATAATTCTCGAAACAAATATTAAAAATTATAATTTAGAAAGGAAAGATTATGAAGGAATATTTGAAATGTAATTGCATACCGCGGGAGTATTGAGTTTACTCTCAACAAACACTGAAAATGATAGAAGAGCGGGAAGAATGATGAAGGATGAAGAAGGAATGAATGGTGCATTTCGCTGCTTAATTCACTTTTCACTTCCTTTACTTCCTCCTTGCACATTTCCTCCTAACAAATAAATGATACTCCAAAAAATTTGGTGCCATGCAGTTCCTGGACTTCACCACCCCTCACTTGTCTAGACTAGACAAGACTAGACTAGATCAGTCTTATTTCAATCATTAGTACTACCATCACTGACAACTTACAACATACATTTATAATGAAAATCTTACTAATTATCATTCACTTTAGCCACGACTACAAAGTATTACAATGATAATTTATTACAACCCTTCTCCTTTATCTCTATCATCTTTTATTGTCGTAGAAACTATCACTGAGTGATATACAAAGGAATGAGTACAGAGGAAAGATTATTCCCATTTCATTGGTAGTTTCATCCATTTTTTTCGCTAAACATTTAACATCAAACATTAAAATGCTAAAATGATGAATCCCTTCGAGTTGAACATCCAGACATCTAACCGCTTCTACCCTCACTCCTCAAAAATGGCAGAAAGTTTAAAAAGCGTATGCAAAAATGTTAGAGAGAGAAAAAAAAAAAGATGTCGCCATGGTAGCAGTGTCTGCTCTGCTCGCTATACTTTCTTGACCCAATTTGTCCTCTCCCGCCTTCATCTTTTCACTGTCCTCTTTCGTCACTATCATCGTCGTTGTCGTCAACATTTCACATTTTTGCTGCTGGGTTACTGTAATCCACCAATTCGGTTGCAATAACCACACCATTTGTCGTTAAAGATGCCAAATGTAAATTATTTTCCAAAAATGAGAAACAAAAACGCAAGGCATTTCTTTGTTTACAAAAAATTCGTACATTTACTATATCAGTTACAGTCTACTAATACATATACTCTACCTATCAAAATTGAATTAGTATCGAAATATTCTAGCACATCACATTAATCATACCATGCTATCATCACTAGATAATGAATGAAGTAGGCTAATTGATTAAGGTACCAAATTCTGTTATACTTCTAAAAAAGTAAAAATGAGACAAATCTTCTTAACACTGCCAAAAATTCCTGTAGTTAATGGAACCAAAACTTTTTGAATTAACAGCAAATATTCCTTTCAATTTACATTCTCTCAAATACAATTTGCATAAAATAAAAATTCCATCTTGTTTATTGCATAGAAGAAAATAAGTAAGTAAAAGAGTTATACAAATTGTTCTTTCGTATTTCTTACACTTACCTTTGCAAAATAGCAAATGGTACAAATCCTATATACATCCCAGAGTTACATTCATACATAACACATGATAAATGAGTGTATTGATAGCCGTTTCTGTGTGTGTGTGTGTGTGTGTATGTGTGTGTGTGTGTGTGTATGTGTGTGTGTGTGTATGTGTGTGTGTGTGTGCACTATTAAAGGGACACTTTTTCCTTCTTTTTGTTAAATTTTTTGTCCCCTTTTTTTATGTTCGTATACATTAATTACAAAACCATAGATCGTGGATGAAAAGACGAGTTTCTGATAAGAAAAAAAGGAAGAAAAAAAAAAAAAAGAAGCGCCGAAAGAATGGAAGAGGGAAGAGGAAAGAAAAGTAAGAGAAATCACTGAAGTGTTGTTTCGTTTTCAAAAAAAAAAAAAAAAAGGAAAAAATTTCGAAAAAGACAACTTCTCTTTCCACTTCCTTTCTTCAACAAACTTAACTAACCTCTGAAGAATATAAGTTTCATTTTTTTTTTTTTTTTTTTTTTTTTTTTGTTGTAGACGACGAAATTGTCCGAAATTTTTGCAGATGTTTGTTTCGGAATATTGTTTTCGAAATTCAAAACTGAAAAGACGAATAAGTTTGAAGTAGTACTTCTTACTTCCATAAGAAAAAAGAAGGAAAAAAAAAAACAAAACAGATGTAAACATAAATTTGTACTTCTTCACGAACACCTTGAAAACTGTTTTCATACCGACACAAAAATAGCAGAAAGAAAATACTTTGGCAATTCTCCTCCCTTTCTTTCCACTCCCGCAGCCATGATAATATTAACTTCATGACAACAAGAATGCAAACCATTTCATTTATCCTCCCTTATACCTCAAATTTTAATGATTGTTATTGCCTGAATTTATTAGGTCAACATATGGCAGTTATTTCCTGATTTATTTGACATCACCCAAAATAACGTCCCGTCTTATGAAATGCACATGCCGGATAATTTAACATTAAATTGAATATATCAAACAAAATATTGCAGAATGTAAACAAACAGGCATAGTACAAATCGAACATATCATTAAACTACAATGATATAACATTTATATAAGAGAATAAAATAGAATTAACCTAAACTTTGCAACTGCAAATCATTTTGCTCAAGAAATCTCGCAGCACGGAAAAATACTAGGAACCATAACAATATTTGCATCCGTTAGTCAAGACATAGACTAATTTATTACTAACATTTTGAGTGTAAATTTGAAGCATACTATATTCCTTTAGTTAAACTAAGCATTAACAATATAAGAATGCAACATATACCACCAGTTGTCAATCCCAATTTGGAAAAGTATTTGGAGGACTTGAGTAAAGGTCACGTAACTTAAACTTCAAACATAGATGATTCTCGAAATGAGGAATTCGTTACTGAACGAGAAAAAAAAGTGGCTACATTGTTTGAGGCTTACATTACAATATCGATTTAACACAATATTGCTTTTAAACTATTGAGAAATTGAGAAAAACGAAAAAAAATGAGAAACAAAACGAGTATCAGAGTTGCAACGAGAGTCACCGTCCTTCCACAGCTTTTTTTCCCTATCGGATCCATACAGTCATTTAAAAACGAAACCAATTTTAAACGGATCTCGTGCAACCAATGGCCGCCGACGACTATTTTCGAGGACAAACGTCTGCTGTGATGATACTGAATCGGGACGTTTGAAAGAGTCGCCTGACTTAACATTTACTAGCTGTAATGGTTGCTGTACCTTACTAATGTTCTTCCCAATATTTCGCAGTATTACTGGAGTATGGCGTTTGGCTTGTTTATTTAGTACAGTTCCTGGTGGAACAGTTATTTCATTGCTATCAATGATATTCATGTCAGAACGAGAAACTGGCTTGTCTAATGTATCTGCCAAGCAAAACTTCGCAATTAATAGCTTTTCACCGAAGAGTTCGTCCAGATGAGGCTCTACCGTATCCGTGCTTTCGACTTCCGCTTCTACATAATCGATTTCCTAAAAAATCGTAGGATTTCTGTGAAAATCGTTAAATGTTGTATCAAAACAATTAAAGCATTTTAAAGTACCATCTCATCCAATTTCTCACTTCCAAAACCTCAAGTTCCTACTGTAATTTGCTAGCACCAAAAAGGATAAGTTCACTCCGACAGTTACTGTCCAGAAAATTCAAAAAAATCCTAAAGAAACTTTAAAAGTGTTCGTTTATAGATCACCTGGACTTCTTCGGTTCCATTGAAACCCAAATGCCAAATAAGCGGCGCTTCAAGATCTACAAATTTTGTGTAAAAATATAAAGCATTAATGTGGAGAAAAAAAATGACTACCTGTTTGTAAGAACTGCAGTAGACTGAATGAATATAGCTTGAAAGAGGCAGAAGCTACCTATTTTCTTGGAGACATAACTTTGATGTGTCGAAAGGACCTGGACCCTGAGGTACTCTTGCTGTGACGCCACGTACTGTCGCAGCAGAGGTCTCAGGGAGAAGGTCGCAAGCTTTCTTTGAATTGGGGACTAAATAGTACGTGAAATAGTAAAAAGCTGAGAGGGGATATCGAACTGGAAAGTGTTGAAATGAAGAACGGTAACACTGAGGAATTGTGAATGAGCTAAAAGTGGTAGGAATTACTTACTATAGGCGTGGGACGTGGGGAGGCGGAGACATATGTAACGATGCATACAGATGACGTATGCCAAAAATGACATAAACCTAAATGTACAAGAAACATGTACAAATTTATCAAGAAAACTTGAAGAAATTTGAGAGCAGGAATTACTTCACAACACCCTTATTGTTTAGTCACACAATTCACATTAGGTGGACATCATGTCATCACCCATGAACTTAGAAAAAAAGAAAAAAACTAGCAGGGAATGTTGCATGCAGGAAAAACCACAAAGCAATTGATCCCTCCATGATCCCAGTACTTTGAAAGGATGATATACTACTAAATGATTGAATTGTCCGAGAATCTCCTTACAGCGCCATCCTCTCTTTTGCCATCCCCTATTCAACTTGCAGAGTAACTGACGTGATGAATTACTACTACGACTACTGCCACTATTACTACCCACTAGTACAACGGTGGCATTCGACGTGAGACTTTCAACATACCGAAGCGGAAACAATGAGACAGTGGGAAAGGGAGAGGGGAGGAGAGGAGGATCTCGAAGCACTATCGGTTGGCTGATGAGATGCTGCCGTCAGTGATTCGTAGGGTATGGTGTCTCACACACACACACATACATACACATACACACAGTAAATGTAGCCCAAGAAAAGAACAGGAGGGCATTTGTGGGAAATGCGAGCAGCATGCTGAGTTTTGCATTTATGCCTAAAATTTTTTGGGGCTGGCACGCCAGGAACGGAACGAGGACGGATGGGGCAGCACCCGGCACCGGCAACAGCATCAGCAAATGACCCATCGACGACGTCGCCCCCTCCTTGAAGCCGTCGCCGACCGACATCAGCAAGATCGTCGCCACCTGGTACGACGTACCCGACCCAGACATTTTCATCTCCTCCCATCTATACATACAACGAAGCCTAACAAAACTACTACTAAAATACATGTATACATACATACATACACACACACAGGATGGCACCCACCGATACACACCGACTGCTCGACCCCTTGAAGAACCTGACACCGGAGAAATAATGGAAGAGGAATAGTTCCTTCTCCTCCTCTCTTTCGTAGCTCATCACAACCACGCTTGACGTCCCGTAAAGATCCCTTTACCTCATTCCCTTCCATTATACAAATGTCCGGTCCGAGAAATGACGAGTTTCCGGTGACGTGTTGCATCAGGTTACTCGAGAGCAGATGAGGAAGCTCACCATATACAACCCACCCTGTAAACCCCTGGGTAATCTCACATAACCTGCCACGAATCATGGGTAGCGATAAGCGTTGGGTGATACTTCTCTCCCCAAATGAACAATTAAATAACCTACAACTGTGTTGGTAATTACAACACAAAAAACGAACATACACACACACATTCAGACCACATTACTACCGAAGAATAACACAACTCAGAGTCAGTATCACTCCATAGAAATGACCACAACTCATTATCAACCCCCTCCTCCCTCTCTCTCTACTCGTTCTAAGGTTATCAGTGTCTAAAAAGTTTCTCTTCTTTGTATGCTTTCATCCTTTACCCTTCCGATAAAATATTTTCAGTAATTAAAAACAATGTACATACAGCTGGACGCGTATACATACACGTACACGTATGCATGACCAGATACGCCGGAAGATCAGAATGTTCTAAACAGCTACTTTTGCGCTCATCAACACACACGCAGCACATATCGGGAACGTAAGAAATAGGCGTTAGTAAAAGGTAAGCAAAGATTAAGAAGGACAATTTTCATAACTTAATTTCATAACTTCATAACAGCTACTGACTTACGTTAAAGCGAAAGACTCGGCACACACGTATGCTAACAATACGAAAGTGAATCGAATCTAGTCTCACAGTTCAGTAAATGATTTAATTAAGAACTACTCATCACTCTTTTCCTCACAAGCAATACTGCATTAGCACGGACGTCCGTCCATCACTCACACACACATACATATATAGCATGCACACGTACAGAGACAGACACAGACATACCTATGTCCATGTGCATACATTGTGAATTCGCATGTGGTCTGTTCGATACTTTTACAACTGAAGGGAGATGATGATAGCTAGTAGTGGAAAGGAAGGATTTTGTGTTGCCAAGAGGAGATGAACAAGACTGATTGCTTGGTAGGCATTGATAGAGAGCCAACTTGTCCCAGCAATTCATCTTTTCCTACTTTTCAAAAAACTTTTAAAAGAAAAAGCTACTGCTGAATGCTTCCTCCTAACAATCAACTCAACTACTACTACGATCAAAAAAACTGATTGGAACAATCAAATGGCATATATACTTCATACTTGTAATGACTACTTTATCTTTCCTGAAATGCCTTAATCTATGAAACGTAAAATATTTCAGGTATTTCTCAAATTCATCGGTGAATTGATTTTCCCTACTACTTAGTTACAAATCCTTTCAATATAATCCATTACATCTATTAAGATGGTAGTTAATGCATTATTCACTCTCTACATTTCTTAGTGATTTTCTTAATAAATATAAGCAGACGATGGCAAATATCTTTGAGAATGAAGGATATTATTAAACAAACGTCAACAGGTATGCGAAATGCGACAATTCGAGCAATCACTTATCTTAACAATAATCATTTATGGTACAATTATTTATCTCAAATAACATGTGAAATTTTCGATGTACCTTTCATCAAAACCCTAGATCATTACGCAATGATCTACCTGAATAGGTGTAGACGGAAGTCTAAGAGCATTACCAAATGGTTTGCAGACTGACACATCTGCGAAAGCATGTTAAGTGTCGTTAGACCGTCCTTTAAATGCATGTGGCACTAAATTTTAGAGAGAGTTGGTATGTCCTTTCAAACCTATCTTAGCAAATTTTATAAGCATCCATCTCTAACTTTCTTAAGATTTCAATCTATGACAATTTCATATTGAACCGAAAAATTGAGAGACTAAAAAATCTGATGGAATTGTTCCCTCAAAATATGCAACACTTTAATCACTGCTTCCTTACGTATCAGATACTAAGCCAATAATTACTGTGCACTTCTGGAGTTTAGCTCACTTTCGAAGTGAATCAAAGAAAGTGGAAGAGATATTGAAATGATTGTTGACGTAACAGTGAAGTGATGATGCTGACTCATCCATAGCTAAATCAGAGCAATTTTAATGGAGCAAAATAAACTGATCTATCCAATGGAACATGATAAACAACGAATCATGCAAATGTAACAGAACGAACGTCTATGAGTCATCCTTCTCCATCAATATTACTTATGAAAAGTTAGTAACTTAGATAGAACTGAGATCGAGGAATAACTAGAGAGATGATAAATGAAAAGAACAATTAGCAATTGAATGAATGAACAGGGATTAAAATTTCTTTAATAGAAAAACGGAATGAAGGGAGGAGTAGGGACAGCGACATTTTATAATGAAGTAAGGAGACAGATTAGGGATTACTCACCTGATTGACACCCCTTTCCTCTCTTTTATATGCGGGAATAACAGGGGATCAAATAGGTAAGGGAAGATGGAGGAGGGAGAGCTACTACTCATACTTCTTTCCAGGTCAAATGACATCTCTCAGACATTCCTGATGACAACCTTTCGCCCCTTCTGCTTCATTATCAGATGTTGGACACAATGCCATCGTCAATGATATCTCCCAGACAACCTCTTCCATAAAAGGAACACTTCCTTCCTTCCTACAAACAGGAGAGAGAGAGAGAGAGAGAGAAAGGGAGAGGGAGAAAGGAAGAAGGAAGTGTCTTCACTTACATCTTGGAATGAATAAACTCTACTGCTTATCGTTAATTATTATCGAGCCTGATATGATCTGATCTGGTGTGCTCAAAGAGATTCGGGTAAAAATAGCAAAAAAAGGGACAGCAATTCCCCTCGGGAAAGAAAGATTCCAGTGGGTAACAACTATCCCGCTGTTCTCATCTATAATGAAATAAATATTTGCACATGCAATGTATGTGTGTGTGTGTTGGAGCGGAGAGTAAAGAATGGAACGGCGCTGTCAGCGAAAAGAATAAAAGTGAGGAGAGAGAGGTGCAGAGAGGGCGAGAGATGCGGAGAGGGAGAGAGGTGCAGAGAGGGCGAGAGACAGTGGCAGTGGCTGTCGCGTGCAACAGAGAGTCGAAGCACATCGTTCCTCGTCTCCGTGCTACTGCGGAACACCGTTCGAAGCAAGCAGCGATGATCGAACGGCACCACTCACAGTGCCATTCTCTTTGTATGGCCAATACTCTCTGTCTCTCTCTCCCTTCCCTCCCTCTCCCTTTCTCTCTCTCTTTCCTTGATTGAAAATCATTATGTTTGCATTTTTTTCCTTGAAAGAAGAAAAGAAGTTCCTCTTTCTCTCTCTCTCTCTTTCCCTATGCTGTTATGTGTGTATTGTTAGTCTAAGTCTTACCCATCTACTTATCTACCCGCCAGTTTGCCTACTTACCCACCCACCCACTTATTTGCCCTACCCAGTCTATCTTTTAATGTTCCATCTCTCTAGAGGTAGTGAGGCACATAGTGCTTGGCTATGGCAATACTAAAATACATGGCAGAAGAGGTAGCTTGAAAGGATAGAGGGACTTCCTCCTCAACCAAAATACACCAATATATTCCTGACAATGATGATCATGGTGACAGTGACAGTTTGGGGACTATTACGAGGGTGAAGGTTATCCTCCATTCGTGCCCTTCGGATATCTCAGTTCTATCGAAGAAACTCTCCTTGGACAGATAAATATGAGCATTTTTCTGATTGGAAAGACAACAGATAGAAATGTGACTAATTTCGAAGGCGGTGGAAATCTGTGCTACCCTTCTTCGTCTCATAACCATCTCTTAAAACGTCTTTAACTCTTCCCGTAACTACTAGTAGAATCATTGGTACCATCTGGTAGCTATAATCTTCTAATGGATTCATGAATTTACACTTCCCATTAGAAAATTCGAACAAATAAAAAGTTTGTTCAGTTAATTTTACGAGAATTGAAAGTATCAACAAGTGGTGTACATATGTGCGTGTCACACAGTCCCTGTACAAAGTGACACCAGCAATCAGTTCCGTAGATGAACGGTCACGCTTTGTGGTCTCGAAGACATGGAACACATTCATTCATCCTTGACATTTTAGTAAAGACGGAACATTTTGGTGACATCTATTTGTACGGACTGGCTGTCATCGTCCCACTGATTTCATTGTGCATTGTTATCGTCTGATGAGAAATTGAACGGTGACAACGACTGGTACCATAGTTGACAGATAGAGAGAAGGGGACAGGAAATTAACTTACCTCATCCATTTTAATATCTATTTGAATGTGTTATCATTTAAGACGTATAAAGCTTTGAAAGCTTTAACGGAGTCTGTTAAAAATATAAGATGAAACTTCATCAAATGATGAGCTGATAATCAAACAAATGATAATGAACGTTATTGACATTACGGTGGGGAAGAAGTCTACCCGTTCTTCATTAACATTAATATTTGCCGAAAAGAGTGGCACAATTCAAGCTTCAATTTAAATAATCTTTTGATTAGAAATAGAAAGTGAAATTCTTTTTTTTCCGGTATAAATGAACAGTTCCGGCATTGATGTCGTTCACTGCTACGCTCATAGATTATTGTCCATAGATTAGTGACAAATGATAAGTATAAATTCTATTTTAGCATTTCATTCAGTAGAACAAATCAGATAATCCTATCCGAATTCGCTAAGTAAACGAAATGTTCAGGCATTACATATAAGGATAACTTTTATAGAAGGTTGTCCTTATGGAGGCATTGATCTGTTCCAAAAGATTCATTTAATTATCCACTTTCTAATCAGATAAGAAAACTATTAGTAGACTAAAGAACTTATCATAATTTTAAAATATTATGTTTTGAAGTTTATACAGAATCTATGATATTTGTGATATAAACATTGGTTGAATTAATTGACAGAAATAGAATTGAATGAATGTCAAATAGGATAGAAGTTTGGGAGAGAAGTTATCATCCGGAAAATTTTTCTTACCTATGCTCTTGCATCAATTCAGAAAAATAACAGCCATACATCCGGTGATATTTCATTCAAAAACCAGAACATACTTATCACAACTATTCCGGTTTATTTTTATGTGTGCATATGTAATATGACAATATTCAGAATTTTTAAAAAAGAAATGTGAGATTAATAAAATATTTTGTTTTAATGAAATCAATTCATAATTTGTTTATATTTCATTTTTCTTTCTCTTTCATTCAATAAATAATTCTTTATGCTTACCACCGTTAAGAATTTTGTAAATAATCGGTAGCTGTTTCTCGTCATCCTTGCAATGATGATTGTTTATTTTCTCTTTGACGGCATTAATTAAATTGATCTCTTTCACTCGTGCTTTTATTTGTGCAATACCGAGTATTGTGAAGAGTATACCGTTAATGTATGTGCATACCTAAAATTTATTAATGATAAAATAGTTAAAAGTTAGTTTTACTCTTCAAACTTTCTTTTCATTCATTTTATACAAACTTAAGAGATAAAATGGAAGAAAAAAATTTTAGTTTTTTATGTTTTATATTTTATTAGTTGAATATTCACATGATTTCATTCAATTTTAAGATAACAATAATTTCATCTTAACTTTTTTATTAAAAAATCTAATCATCTGCATCAGTATGGTTTCTCGTTATATTCTAAGCATTAATCTATATATTTAAAACTAAAATTAATTAGAAAAACGTTTACACCCAGATATGAAATCCAAATTATCATCTAATTATTTAAATTTAATTATATCTTCTTTTCTTTCTCTTTTTTTTTTATTTTAATCAATTCGTAAAAATATTTTCAATACTTCCATCTGTTTTACATACTATCAACCATTGCCTATTCCACTTTTTTGTTCCGAAAGGGAAGTTTTATTGTTGTATATTAATTTTAAAAGTTTTAAAAGTTTTATTTTTAATTTCTTATTTTAATTTTTAGTTTTAATGTAAAAAGAATTAAGCAAGTGCCACATAAATATTTTTGCGTTTGAATACTGACCATAACAATTCGAAATTTCACAAATATAATAGAATTAGTAAGATTTTCAATGACAGTATTACCTGTAATTTATGATCAGATATTAAATTTGCTATTGTTGTAGTAAAAATTGTAGCCACACGTGAAGCTGCTGATCTGCCAGATGGATCTAAGCATAAATTTAACAATAATGCACAACCATAATCAAGCGCTGTTGGACTTAATTTACCACCAAGGTATATTGATAACCATTCCACCATACCTAGTTTTATCAATTCTTTTTGCACCGATGATCTAAAGTAGGAAAGAAAAATGTAAGATTGTTATAGAATTTTTTAATAGATAAAAAAATGCAATTTTTTTTGAAGATTTTTGTAAAAGATTTACAGCAATTAAATTAAAATTCTAGAAATTATTTATTTTAAATTATTTTGTATTAAATTTTTTATTAAAAAGTATTTTATTAAACAGCATATCAGCATATACTAAATAGCTTTTTTTTTCTTTCTTACACATTTAATTAAAAACCTTATACTAAGCTTTTGAAGTGTTGCCAGAACATGTTCACCCGCATAATGGTGTAATTTTTTGGTTTTTAAAGCCATCGTTAATGTTGCAATTAATTCCTTGCCCTGATTATTGGCCAAGAGATAGTTTCGGCCAAGATTAAATGATGCGATAGAGTTTAGTAAGCGGCACAATTCTTCTTTCGTATCATTTCCGTTATCACCTTGTGATGTAATCACGCTTACTACACTCTGCAAATGATCATCGAGATGGACTGATAGAAATCAATCGAATTCACGGAATACTAGTTTTATAAAAATTTTATATAAGGCTAATCTTAATTTCTTTGTTGTTAAAAAAAAAGAAAACGGAAAAAGTTGCTATTTAATATTTTTTATTAAGTAACTATTAAATAATCGCTATTTAATATTTATTAAGTAAACAATTAAAATTTAATATATATTGAGAATTTCTTAAAAAATTTAAATTTTTTACATTTTTCAAATGTTTCAATAACAATAAATCGTTATTTGCATAAACTTCCAACACCTGTCCAGCACTCTCAATTGGTATTCTTGTTATACGCTGAAAAAAAAAAGTGAGTAATCTCTTGTAAACGATGAAATAAATTACGATGACAATAAGTGACCGATATTTAAAAAGGCGGAAAAAATGTATTTTAATTATTTATGGAAACCACAATTCTTATATGTTTTATAAATCTCAACTATCCATAACAAATCGTAATCATAATCTTTACTTATACATCAAAATTATAATTATAAATGTTCATGCGCGAAAAAAAATTAAACAAATACGAATGAAATTGCAATTATAGAGTCAAAAATGTTATTTTGAATTAAACTTAATCAAAAGGTAAAATGAAATATATTTACCTGACGTAAGGCCTGCAATAAAAGAGAACTAAGCCTTGCTGAAGCACTCTTAATCAGACAATTTCCAATTTTGGTATAATTAAGCCTTCCAATCACATCGTCCATTATCACTTCCTCTTCCTCTTTCATCTCTTTCCTACATTCATTACTATATTTTTAGCTTTTCATTTCATTTCCATTCAACTTAGCTTATTTGTCTGTGAAAAAAATTCAATTTATTGACAAAGAATTATTAATGCATAAAATTTATAATATCAATGTGCTTTTAAATAGAAAACAATTCGTTTTGTTTTTTCATTTTTTGCAATAGAAATAAATAATTAAACGTTCTTGATAAATTCTCTTTGAATGAAATATCAAATGTTATTTTGTACTTTTTAAGCTGCTGATAGTTTATTTCTTATTTATAATAAACAATAAAGTAAAATATAAAGACACCAATATCTAAACATCAAGTAAGGATATTTTATAAGCTATGCTATAATTTTGTTGACTGAAAATGGACTTTGTTTATTTCATTTAATCAGAAAATTCTCTTCTCAAAGTGAAATTGTCCCCTATCTTAGTTTTCTATCACGACAATGTTGCATTTTTTGATAACACAAATCTCAATCTTTTTTCTTTTTTTTTTAAAAAAAAAGAAACGAACAATTTGATAAGTGTTTTTGATGGAACCATTGGCGTCAATTTGTCAACTGTTTCATCATTTTTCACTGTTCTATTCTTCTTTTTCATACGTGTACTTAATTTTCCAGGCCTATCACACTTTTTGTCCTAAAATTATTGAAAAGATTTTTAATTTAAGGTTGTAAAAATTTTCAACAAATTCAAATCAATTTAATAAGTACAATTCAATATGCTTTTCTTACTGATGTTTCACTTATACTAGCAATATTTGTTTGCATATGTTGTTCTGCGCTTGTTGTTACATCTTCAAAACGCGCCTTCATTTCCATAATATATTCAGCTGATAGATGAATTACCTGTAATGAAATTTAATTTAACTAATTATATTATAAATGAAATGTAAGCACAGTATTAATTCTTTAACAATTCAAAATATTTATGATAGCAATTAAAAAAATAGCGCACTCCCACTTCTTTATTTGATTGTTCCACGTAATTAAACATTTCGTTGACAATATCAACAATCCGATTGTAATTATATTGTAATTTGAGACATTTTTTTTCCAACAATTCATTATATTGTAATCGATAAGCTGTCTAAAAAAAAAAAAAAAAAAAAGGAAAAACAAAAACAAATAAATATTTTCTTCAAAATTTAAATTAAATTCATTTGCAAACATATTAATCGTAAAATATTAAATAATTATAAAATAAAAATATTGAAATTAAATTTTTATACTTCGAGGCAGAAATGTTTAAAAAAAAAAAAAAGAAGAAATGATAAACAATAATATACTTTAGATTATTTCAATATTTTTAGAATAAAATGATTAAAAAGTGAGTGCAAAACAAAAATATTTCAATAAACAAACCATCCATTTTTGTAATAAAACATTTTGAGTATCATCGATATTTGTCGCATAATTTGCCAAAAATACACTTAAATTTTCAAAAAGACTTTTGGCCCATTTCTTCTGTAATTGAAATTAACAGAAAAAAAAAAAAACAGCAATAAAAAAGTTGAGAAATAAATAAAATGAGTAAATGTATAATTGAAAGGAAATGTGAAAAAAAATTTTTTCTTCGTCATTTCAAAATAACTTAACGCTAAATATAAGTTATTTAACAATAAAATTAATAAAATTGGAGTAACATTACATCGTTGAATAATAATTAAATTATAAATTTTGTTATTGAATTATTTAGAAATTAATCTGTCTTATGTAAAATGAAATTTTATATCCTACTTGAGCTAATTCTTTAAAAACAGGATGTTTTTCAGGTTCAACAACATAAGGTAATGCAAAGTACTGAACAAGCTGAACATCAGCACTGTATCTGATACCATTTTCATCCTCCAACAATTTCTTCAATCCTTCAATTCTTTTCCTATATTCTTCTTTATCCTAAAAAATTTAGTGAAACTTTTACATTTCTTCTTTTTTTTTTATTTTACTACATTATTAATTTATAATTTATGGTTCATAGTCTATCCTTTTTTCTTTCTGTTTTTACTGGTCTTTTTGTGTCATTAAAAGATAATAAAAAAAATTTCTTTATCATTTCGTACAATGTTGTTCCTTACTGATAAATATCCGTTTCAGCTTTCTTAGAAATAATGATGAAAAAATTTTCTTTTCTTTTTTTTTTCCTTTACAGCAGGAACAGAAAAATGAGAATGAAAAATGAAATTAGAAAAAAAAAAAAATTGGGTAAATGTGATAAGAATACACTAACTGATGGTGATTTACGAAGCGGAAATGTCACGAAATACAAATGGATATTAAATTCCAATGAAATTACTTCCGCAGATTTACTACATTCTTCAACAAATAACTCATTCCAACACTTAAAAAATTGTTCACATTCATCGTTCTCCAAATGAGACAATAATCTCTTCTATAAATGATAACAAATGAATAAAAGAACACTGATATCAGTGTATTACATGGAATATATCAGTTTTGATAGCAGTAAGTTTGATATTATATAGCATATTATTACTTGGCAGCTTTTTTATAGTTTATTTTTGAAATTATTTTATAGAATACAAAAAGTTGTTAGAAGAAAAGATCAATTATGATTGCTAGTTAATATTATTTAAACTAATACAGTGACTCATTCTGAGTAAATTTTAAAGTATGATTGAAAGAAAGTCTTTTCAAAATTGAACTTTTCAATTCTAATTGCAAAACAGTACGAAATACAATTATAACTAATTAATTTATATATACTAATAACTATTTATAGATTCATTTGAAGCAAACATATCCACCATGCAAATATTTTTTTATCAGCATAGTATCATTAACAAGAAACATTTCAAATTATTCCTTCTAGGAAAATATTTTTGTTCTGTAAGGAATGAATCAATCAACGTAATTATGACATATCACTTAATTAGTTTTTGAAGCAACTAAATTTTCATATTATAAAAAAATTGGTTGGCCAAGAAGATAAAAAGAAAAAATGCCTAGACAAAAAAAAAAAAGAAGAGGACAAAAAATGAAAGCTAGAAGATACCTGACATACAGCATTACTAATTCCATCATTCATTTGCAATTTTTTCGCCATAATAGCACGAATGAATGTATTCAAAATGTATATTTGGTTGACTCAATTAATAAATGAAATGAAACTGAAAATATAAAATGAATTAGTTCATTTTATATTCTTAAATTTATTTCACATTTGATTGAATTGAGTGTAGAAGGATAGAATTAAAGAAATTGGAAAAAAGTGCAAAAAAAAAAAAAAAAGATCAAAACGCTAAATTATAAATTATGTAAGCTACTGACGCAGCTTCTTGCTGTTTTTCATTATTTTATTTATTTTTTAATTAAACAAATCTTTTTCAATTCTCTCTACTGCATATGTCACCTGAACCCTTGTCATAAGTATATATTTAATGGAGATAAGTAAAGAAAGATAGACATTTCAGGTTGCTATAGCAATATTTATACAGCAACATAATATTATTCTTCCTTTCTGTTTGATAAAGTATCGATTTCATTCAAATGAAATCAATTTAACTCATTTCATAGCATTAGAAATAGATTTGATCTAATTCAATTCAATTCAATTCAATTCATTCTAATTTCATTCGTTATTATATTCTAGTCTGTTTAGAAATCCAGTTAAATACATATGTATACTTACATTGCCATTAATTTGTTAATTAGTTTTTGCATTAATGACAATTAATATTGCAATTAACAAAAAAGTATAATGTAATCAGTAATGATAATAATAGTAAATTTTTTAAATGCTTTTAAGCCAAAGCACTTTTTACATAGTAATAAAAGAAAAACAATTCATGATAAAAAAAAAAAATTGTGAAGAAAATTGTTTGATTTAAACATTATTTCCAAATCATTATTTTCAAATCGGAGAAGACGAAAATTGGATCTAAAATTTAAAAAAGTTGCCTATATGATATTTGTAGGATACCTTTTAGAAGATGGATGCCATTGAGATCCATCGAATTGCAAATATGCTAAATGCGCCTCGTATGGAATATTTTATGGAGCCTAGGAAGATTTGTTTATTTCAACTTTTTTCTTAAAAAGCAAAGAGCAAACATTAAAAGATTGTTGTTGCCAAGATTATTTCTAAGATTTCATTAGTAAATATCAGTTAAATTACTGTACTTTTATATCGGAAGCTAATAACATATATATCACTTTTCCGCTACTAGCAAAAATGGTGTAAATAAATAGCTAACAATAGTATGCAGTAAACAAATTTAATCGAAGTTAGACTTGTTTGGAATATTAAAATAAATGATTTTTTGAAATAATTTCACTTATTTTCTTTGTACATTCGCAAATATTAAGTTATTTACATTATTGATTATCACATATTAGAAGAATGATAGGGAATAAGTAAAGTTAAAAAAAAAAGTTAAAAATGATTCATTCATCTCTTGTTAGAGTTCATATTTCAATAAATTTTAACATGCTATAAAGAAATGATATATATACGAGAAACTTAAAATTTCTAATCTTTTTCACTAAATGAAACACATTGGAAAGCAAACTTAAAACGATTAAATCTGAATTTTTAATCTTTTATCATATCAGAAACAACTGTGTTATCAATCTTTTATGAAAATCTTAAAAGAAAAGTTTAAAAGAAATTCAATAATAATTTTTGTTTTCTTTTAAATCAGGTTTAAGTCCAATTTAAATTTTTTTTTTGCTAAATGCAGTTTTAATGAGAGAAATGTCATCATTCCAATTATCTAGTATTGTATGGAAATTAAAATTTTGAAAATTTTCACCTGAATTCGATTATTCACACATACACAATGATAAATACATTAATATACGTTTAATACATACAACCGTACACTAATAACTTACCTGCAATTATTTTCTTTTCTAGACAACATCCAAATGATCTTTAGTCTTTTTGGAGTATAATTATGAATTAAATACAAATTTTAAAAGCTTTATCTGATATCTTTACAACAGTATACGCTTATCATTTGTTGATTGATGATTGCCGAATTTAAAACTAAGAAAACATAAAACTTCAATACATGTTGTTGCCATCAAAAGAGATGATTTACAACAGAATTTCACTTTGGTTAACAGAATGAATGTAACCTTAAGGTATTACTGCTATTTTAATTACTGTCTGAGAAACTGTCTTTCCCTCTTTTTTAAATGAAATCAACTAGAATGACATTTAGAAAGAATTCCTCAGACCGAATTGGTATAAGTATTAACTGCCTTTTATAAGTAGCCTTATAACTATTCTCTGAAATCAAAATAGACCGTTGTGAAATTCAATGAGAGATTCAATTACGATAGAGTAATAATACAATGTAAGGCAAAAAAATTACACTTAAAATGTGCAAAATTCAATTAACGCTAATTTTTAAATTATGAAATAATTTAAGCACTAGACAATTATGTGAAGTGAATGCAATTATAGCTAATGAGATGTCAAATTGAATTATGATAATCCTAAGAAATTATGATATAATTGCTACTTATTTTAATTTTGAAACAGTTTATAACATTTCAATATATTATTTCCTATACTCCTACAAACTGAATATAAGTTACTTCCTTATCTTTTCAGGAAGCAAATTACTTTCTGCAAATTAGTAAAATGCACTGTCATTGAAACTGCCATCTCAACAATACACAGCAACAATAAATTGACATATTTGTTAATTATTTAATCACTTAATAAAGTTTTTGGTATTTTTTATTGCTTAATTCAAGTAAAATGAAATATTTACGTACTTTTTAAGCTTAGGTTCACTTATAATAAGATTGATCTACTGATGAATCTAACCTATAGCTAATCTTGCACTTATAATTGAATTTATTTACAATTAAATGAATTTAGTTACATCGAAATGTAAGTGTAAACATATAATCAATTTTGAACATATAAGTGCTTATATAAAATTGCTTTGTGCTTCTGATTTTGTAGAAAGTCTCTTTTTCTTGTGAAATTTAATTTTGTAAAATTTAATTGGAAAAATCGAAGACGATAGAGTAATAATATAATGTAAGGGAAGAAATTTCGCGAAAAATGTGCAAAATTTAATTAGCGCTAGGTTTTAAATTGATGATATAAGTATAAAATCTAGTTGTAGGTTAATATTTATCGGTAAATCAATCCTACAATAAGTAAATCTAAGCTTCAAAAGGCATACAAATATTTCATTTTGTTTGGAACACTGGAAAATTGCAATAGTGCATTTTATTAATTTGGCAGTAAACAACCACAAATGTTTATTGTTGTTTCATAGAAGAACTAACAATGCAAGATAAGACTGTAGAATAGTGTGTCTTATAGGTTTCAAATGATAATATACTTAATAGATTATAAGTAATTGCTTATCCTTTCCACATAATCTGTCATTGCAGATTAATCATTTCAACGAAATGATAATATCGTAATCAGTATTGATTAGTGATCATAAAGCTCATGAATATGCAATTGAAATGAAAGAAATGATAAGCAATTGCTGATAATTATTCAATTATATCATTTGAGAAGGGAATTAGACACGGTAAAGGTGGAACCTCAAAATATATCATAAGTATTCAACATACTATCTCAATAATTACCCAAAATAATTATTTGAGCATTTATTTCATATCACCGATTCTTGCAATGTACTTTCAGGGGACATTCCTTTGACAGCATCTTTTCACAGTGGTGACACTACGATGACATTTTCTTTCACTTTGAAACTGGCGTATACTTATTGTCAGTGTAATGTATTATTACAAAAGGTGTATGGTATGTTATACTCGTTTCACTCTTCTGTGTGATATCATTTTGTTAAGATAATCGTGATAAGTTAATAAGATTTTCGATTGTTTAGTTGATAATGGCAACTTTTTTTCGATAAATATGTGAATGATAAGAAGTCCACTCTAGGAATAACAAACCTGTGATTTTAAATAGATTAAAGCCGACTTTTGGTTTAACGGAAGAAAACTTTTTCACCTTTTTTTTTACCATAAATCTAGTCATCCGAATTCAATTTTCTAAACTTATAATTTTCATTTTTTTGTCTGTAATTAATTACCATTAACTAATTTTAATGATTTCATCTGCAATTAATCTCACTAAATTAATTTTTCCTGTAATTGTTTCCCAATAAATATATATTCCCAGCAAAGGAAAGACGAAATTAGCAGACTTACTTGAACGTGAAAGAGAAAAGAAATGAAACGATCACATATTCTATGTTTGCCATTCATGTCAAGGACTGTACTTTATGTTGTAGCGTGAGTCACGTTACCACGCACGTCTCTTTCATTACTTTAACAATGGATAGAATAGTCAGAACTAAGAAAAAGTGAAATCAACATAATTCACCTTAAATCATGAAATATTGCCATTTAACTCAGAAAAAAAAAAAAAAAAACTCTTGAGTGCACTTTTATAGCAGACTTCTCCTTTACAGGATAAAACGATTGTTATCTTTTAATAACTGCTGCGTAAGCGTGACGTATCACGTAACGTATTCAAATGTTGAGCAAAGAATGGCACATTTTCTTTTCCAAACATTAATCAACAATGAATGCCATTCAATTTTTTTTTTTTTTTTTTTTTTCAATTAATCGATTTGAAAATGTTTACAATCAGACTATGGCATATACGCAACAATTATTGGATGTGAAATTCAATTTGGATAATACTCCCTATAAATCAATTGAAAATATTGGCACTGGAACATATGGAGTGGTATGCAAAGCATTTGATCAGGTGAATTCATTATAATTATCTATGTTAATTATTCATTCATCGAAATCAAATGAATTCTTTTAATACTTTCAAACAAAATTTTGATATCACTTAAAATTGAACTTTTATTTCATCCTTATATAAGGTTAGTATTATTAAAGTTTGTTATAAAAGTTTACATTTATTGCGTTTCTTTTTATGTAAAAAGAACGTAAACTTTTCTGCATGTAATAATTTTTTAGCGAAATGATCGAAAAGTAGCAATAAAGAAGATAACTCGAGCATTCTCAATTGCAGTCCTTCTGAAAAGATCACTTCGTGAGATACGTATACTGCGATGTTTACGTCATGAAAATATTGTTACGATGCATGATGTATTCGCTGCACCTGGATCACACGTAAGTCAAATGTGTCATATTCTTTCCTCTAGAAATTTGCTCAGTTTCAGTAATGATTTAACCTGCTTAAACTTAAAGATTCGTTTAGATCATCTAAATATACATATATATATATATGGATGATATAGATGTACGTTAAATTATTCAGTGAAAATGATAGAATTGATATAATTGATCATATTTTTTGATGTTTTAGGGTTTGGATGTTTATATGGTACTTGATTTGATGGAGACTGATTTACATCAGATTATACACAGTCGACAGGATCTTACTAATCAACATTATCAGTACTTTTTATATCAGATATTACGCGGATTAAAGGTTAATTTATCATTTGTTGACTTTATTGATGAGGAGAGAAAAAAAGAGATGCATTGTCACAATGATATTTTAGAAGTTATATCAAAAACAAACGTAACACTAATTTCATATTTATTAAAATCAATTTTAGTGCACAAAAAATTTTTTTATCACAATTTACAAAATTTGTAGTATTTGCATTCGGTGGGTATAATGCATCGTGATTTAAAACCGTCAAATTTGTTGGTCAACAGTGATTGCCTATTGAAAATAGGCGATTTTGGGATGGCTCGATTGATTGAACAGCAATTGAATGATCAAAGCGTTTTATTAAATGGCAATTTTATGACCGTATGTTGGAGTAATTGTTTTTTCGAGTATATTAATTGATTTGATTATGTGTTTTTCGATTATCTACATTAGCTATATTGATATTAAGCAGTAATGGACTTAATTAATAGCTTTATGCTATATATTTTTTTATTAAGTTTTTAATATTTATTTATTTGTTTGTTTATAAATCAATATTTGTTTCAGCAATACGTCTCAACAAGATGGTATAGAGCACCTGAGTTGCTTTTCTCACTTATTGATTATGATACTAAGTAAGCTGGTATTCGATTCGGTACCTCCCTCTAATCTAAAGTAATTAGCACAAATACTCGATTACTCATACTTCTTAAATCACTCCACAGTAAGCTTGTTCGGAACTATAAAAGGATCATATAATCATTTACTACAGGGTGGATGTATGGTCAGCAGGTTGTATATTCGCCGAGATGCTTCTTCGTCGACAGCTATTTCCAGGAAAAGATGTCGGAAGTCAAGTTAAAATTATTGTTTATTATTTGGGTACACCGGAACAGGTAAGAAATTTGATTCTGAATCTTAAATAATTTGACAAATCCCAGTAATATAATGAGTTTAAATTGTCATTCAATAATTTATATCATTAATTTTATGTCCTAATTTGACAAATTGGTAACTGTTTCAAATATATCATGAAGTAAGCGTGTAAACAGAATGTAAGAGAGATCAATACTTATAGTTCATAATAGTAAATAAATTACAGGATGTAATGGAACGTATTAGCTCGAATCTTATCATTCGGTTAGTTCGCATCGGATAATATTTTGGAGATATTCCTCGTTTTAGAATTTTAATGATTTTTCAAAGTAAATCCATCCTTCAGTTGGATTGAAAGTTGTGGACCAAAAAATCCGCTCCCATGGAGTACAATTGTACCAAAAGCAAACCCTCAAGCATTGGATCTGCTGAAAAAGGTACAAATTGTTGATGAGAAGATATGCAACAAGGAAGTAGAACTTTTCCCCTCCTATCTCAATCAATTCTCAATTTTATTAATCTTTCTAATCATTTCAGCTACTAGTAATAGCACCTTGGAAACGAATAACAGCAGAAGAAGCCCTATGTCACCAATATTTGGAGATTTATCACGATACAGCTAGTGAACCGAACTGTCCAAAAAAAGTAAGTTGGCAACCTTCTATTCAATTTAGCATAAAATTCTGTTGAAATCAAAAAAAGACAAAAAAAAAAAAAAAAAAAAAAAAACAACTTTTAAATCCGAAAATATTCTGAAATGCAACTATGTTTTTCAAAATTATAAAGAAAAATTGAGGTATACTTCGACGCAAGAGAAATCGAAAGATTGAGTATCGATCAGTTGGAATGCGCACTTCTAGCAGAAACTTCAGGATCTTACACTCAGCAGTCCAGCAATAGGTAGAAATCGAAGAAACAGAAATGTCAAAAATAAAAATTTGTAAACCGTCACAATGGGAGGTTTGATATAAAAACAATAACCAGAGCAAATAAACTTAGGAAGACTTTCTTAACTAGCTGTAGGAAAAGGTGAAAAAGAGTCGAAAACAACTCTAGCAATAATTTTTAATCCGACTCTTTTTTGTCAGCAATTCAGCACCAGTATAATAAAAATATTGACTTTTCCATTTCCCAGTACAAATTTGCGAGGATCGCTTTAATGCTCCATAAAAAATGAACATTTATAATTGCATTCTGGACAAAAGTATTCTTTCTCGGGAATAACTGCATTTCTTTATTGCAGCTCACAGGAATATGATAAAAATATGTTTCAAAATTCAACATCGAAAGCAAATGAACAGTAAGGAGCAAAAGAGAAACCATTGCATAAGGAGGATAAAACTTGAGGAATCATATGTATTTTCATAATACCTCCATAAAAAGAAGAGCCTAGAAAAGGAATATGTCAACTGATGAAAGATCAAACTTATACTTTCAAAATAAAAACTTATTAAATTCAAAGTGCTCACATAACTGGTGAAAACCAAATTATACAATTACATTCTTGAACAGATTAATTGGCTTCATCGGATTCTTTTTCTTTGTGATATTTTGCACGATTAATACGTCTGTCAAGCTCATCCAGGGTTATGGGACCACCAATGGGTTCAAATAAACGACGATTTTCTCGACGCAACTTCTCTGCATTTTCTGAAAACTTTAAAGTTAATCGATCTGATTTATACATACATCACATTTCTGTGATGACTTCTCTGCTCAACGATCTAAGAAAACAAAAGGCGTTCCAAAGTTTTGGAACGAATTACCGAAGCTTACTAAAATATAAAATGATGGCAGCATTTAAAATAATTTAAATCGCAATAGTGAACACCAATCATAGCAGCTTAGTTGTGAGCCCTTAACTATTCCATTTAAGAATCGTTCGCAAACCACTTAATTATAATATAAATGTAAAATTTATCTGAGTAAAATAACATTCGAATAGCAGCGACATTAGCCCACTTCTAGATTATGGTAATGCTTATCTCATTAGTTATGCATTACATATATGCATAATGATTCCTGAATATAAATATAATGACCTTTTATGGTATCCAACGTTACATCCCGCTGTTGGTCAAAATTATGAAAAAGACCAATAACAAATGGAACAACTGGCAGAATGTACAAATGTGATTGCTTCATTTTCTGACTTACTAACATCAGTGAGACGACCAACAAAGCAGTCATATGTTGGCTGGAGATAAGTTTTCGTGTGTTCGCTAACTGAAACAGTTGTTCATCTATTAGAACATAACGTCTTTAAGTAATAATATTATCTTAAATAATGGGAATTGCCAGGATTCAATAATTTCATTTTCATTCCGCAGTACTATTAAGGTATCAGATGTACAACTCAACAATACATTTTTCTATATCCACCACAATATACCGACACCAGAAGCAATCAAGACTCATCACCAAACATTTCTCGAACCCGTCTCTTATTCTCACTGCGATTACACTGGAAAATATAAAGTATGAAAAAATATTGGTTAAGGAAAGTATTACAAAAAAGAGAGAGAGAGAAAAAAAAAAAAACAAAAAAAAACAAACCTCTAAAGCTCTTTTATGCTCTAACAAAACATTTTGCAGAGCTACCTGCTCCAGTGCCTGAAGAATAATTCTTATTAAAATTGCAATAGATAATTCATAAAAAAATATAAATAGTAACCGAAATTTTGAAAATCTTACAATAAAATAGCATTATTACAAGTATTCACCCATAACATTTCAATTCCAAAGAGAAACAAAATTAATTCATATTAAATTTAGCACACTAAATAAAATATTGAATTCCAATAAGTTAAGATAACCTGTTGTTCGTAATAATTCTGTAACTCTGCATTACTTGACCACGATGTTCCCATTAAGAACATCAAAATCAAAAATACAAGCTTCAGATGGTTCCAAAACCACAGATTCCTGCTAGAAACTTAAATCTATTTATTCGGCAATAAATAGCTGATGGTGCCTTTTGTAGTTATATTTGTTTTATATTTACAAAAACGGTAACAAAATTTCAGAAAAATCGCACAAGAAACTGCATGATAAACCGAAAAGTCTTAAAAATATAAAACAGAAATATGTGAAAACCTTAATTATTCAAATATTCAGCACATATGTTCTCCAACAGTTTTATAAGCGTATGTTGAACACGGTCAAACGTTAAAAGCACCTGAAAGGAGACTCAATCGTTCAATTATTTTCATTTTAAACTATCACCGATTAAGCTGTTGGCAAAAGTGAAAGAGAATAATAATTTCTATTCTGGATATTTGGTTTCTTCCGCCCATGAAATTCCAACTCATGCGAGTCCCGAGTGAACAAATACTATTTCAAGCTTGAAAACTAATCACAGAGATGAAACAAACGAGTTCAATGTTTTATTAGAATTTGAAAACCATAAATATCCGAAGAACGTAATAAAATAAACATATTTTCCAATCAAACTATGTAGAAATGCAACATCTCCAAAGTTCTCAACCTATATTCGATTTAAAGATCAATTATGATTTGATAAGTCAGTATGTTGCAGTGTAAACTTATTAAAACTGTTTTCCAGGAACTTTTCGATGAATAAACTCAAAAAAATACATTTTCCAAAGCCTCAATTTTCATCACGAATTCGGAATATTTCGAAAACGATTACTGGTAGAGGAAAGCAAACAATATCGACCTATTCCACATCATTTCCTTCTTGCAATTCTTTGAGACGTTGTTTTACATCAGCTACCACAACATGCGGCTCATGTTCTGTCATTCTTTTCCGATATAATAAATCAGCTCGCCCTAGAAATAAAGTGTGAAATTTAGCATGACACAGTCTATTTCATTTTTTCATACAAATTCGATAACTTAATGCACAGTAATAATTTTAGCGTTTTCTAAATCACATATTATTCCAGCCTCACTCCATAAAACAATCTTCTAACCCTCTATGCATAATGATAAAGAACGAAGCATTTTAAAGAATAAAATCGATTGAGAAAACTCACTTTTGATCCTTCCTGTTCTTTGTCCAAAGGAAGCATCAGTTTCAGAAGCTATGTAAGGAAGCGCTATGGCAAGCGGCATCAAGTGTAACACATTTTTATGTCGATAGGCGGAGAGTCCAGAAATAAGAGCTACAGCAAGACTTCCAAAAACTTTGTAAGGATAGGAATACTGCAATTTGGCAAGCTGAAAAATCATAATTCTCAAAACAAAGAAAGTTTTTCCTGTAGTTTGGACTACAGAGAAAAATAGGCTCGATCTTTTAAATACATCAAGATCCAAAACTGTTAACATTGTACACGAAAACTAGAGACTTAATGAAGTTACAAGAGTATCCTGGCTCTAGCATCTCTATATATATGAGTCACTTGATTTTCCAAGAAAAAATGAGCTGTATGACAGATTAATAAATGTATGCATATGCTTTTACTAATATGGAAAAATAGTATTTTATGACGAGACATATGAAAAAGAATAAATATGTGCCATGTACGATAATATTGTTTGCTTACTATATTATTATTATTATTATTCACTTCAAAATATTTTTTATTTTAAAATAAAAGTAAATAATACAAGTGTAATGGTTAAAGATATCATAACGACAAGGACGTAGCAACAACATCGCTAATAGACATACCTCGAATGCTATTTTCCTTTCATCCAAAGCTTCTTGAAAAGCTATTTCACGTTCAATCTGAAACAATTTTTTTCTTCAACAAAATGTAAGCAAATTTCAATAAATAAATGATGCATAATTAATTGTTATCCCTTAATGAGGCTTAATAAGAATAGTTAAAAAGAGGTAAAAAATAGTTAGTCAAGAAAAATCAAAAAGCGACAAAAAATATAATAAAAAAGTGAAACTTACGACAATTAATTAAAACTAAATTGAACAGAAAAAAAAAACCAACGAAGCCAGCAAAAAAGAATTCAATTTCAGCACTTCAAACAACCATCTAACGACTAATAATCAGAAATACGTATAAACACATTTAGATTCTTTTCGTTCAATTTTACCATCATAATGCATAAATAATTTTAACTTTTTCTGATAGTTATTCAAAGAAATCTCAAACTTCCATCATTTATTAAAATGATGAAATGTAATATTCCAAAGACCAAAATTTTCAGAAAAGTTCTTTTTTTATTATTAATTAGGAGTAATTGGTCATACTCACCATATATGGTGATTAAAACAGAAGGAAGTAAACACTGTATCAGTAGAAGCAACAATGAAATATTGTTAATGCAGAAGGAAATAAGAAACCTTTTGATTCTCAAGCAATCGAATGGCATCCACCACCGATTTATCAATCATTTCACTTCTGTGATACCTTCTGCAATTGACATTAATCTGAAATACATTAAAATTTAAGACTAAATCAACAAGATATACCAGTTTAACCCCAAAACCCCTGGGACTTCCCAAATGCACCGGTGAATTTTGTATGACTCAAACAATCCACCACTTGTAAACATACGCAGTCCGAACCAAGCAAAATTCGTACAAACGCAGCGCTACGTCTAATAACTTAAATAGGATATGCCTTATTAATTTTGGGTGACATAGGATTAATGTAAGTGTTTAATTCAAATTATGCTTTTAGTATAAATAATTACTTAATAAGTTAGTAGAAAATCTTTAATAAGTGCTACTTTAGGATTGAAAATTTTAAGTTAATATATTTTTACTAAAATTCATAAGAATATTAAGGAAATACTCAGCTATATCAATAACATGAAACCGTATTATTAGTGAGTTTTTTTTATAGACTACACTAGAGATTTTATAAAGAAGTAAAAGCCATTTGATGCCGTCAGAAGAAACGACACATCGAAGTCCAGCAGAAGAACTTGAAGAATTAGATGCGAAGAAACTGCGTCAGGACTGCATAAACATTATGCCGAATGGGAATTCAAATGAGGTTTCACAATTTTTTTTAAAAATTTTGAAGTTTCATATGAGATGACAAGCCTGATTTTTCTGTAGGCTACATATATATGATATATTGTTCTTATACTTAACATGCTTGAAATTGACCATGATGGACGAATGAAATAATTCAAGTTATATCAGATTATCATTTCTCAATTCAGTCATTTTTCTTCCCCGATTTCGGTAGACTTTAAGCATTATTGTAATTATTTGAAATATCAACTTCAAATGATAAAATGACAATAAAGTGATGAATTTCAAAAATTTAAACCTGAATCAATCGACAAATCGATGAAATTCTACATGTTTCTAATACAAGAGTGATTATTCCTGTCAGGATTAGGATTCAACAGTTAAAAAGCATAGGATGAATAGGAATATCTTTTTTGTTTGCTTTAAATTGATCTTATATTACACACATGCCTTAAGAATATTTTCTCTAGCATTGCAAACCTAAACTGATTAATTAAAAGTTTAGCAACACCATTTATGTCGAGTCCTGCTCACTTTTCTTTTGGACTCCGTTTGAGTACTCTTGCAAATAAATGTAAAAGCTAGGTCTAGTCATTTGAATAAATAGTATAACAGGTACTTATTCTTAACTTTTAGTGAAATAATTACTGAGATCAGGACATCGGCGAGGATACACTCTTAGGAGGTATGGATCACTGTGTGTCTCTAATTAACAATATAGATGGAGGAATTAAGGTTAGACATTTACAGATAGGATTAAAAAAAATTGATTCTTAATATGAATAATATGAGTTAATTTCGAAGAGAAGTTAAGTTTAGAACTACATCTTTGATTTATTAATCCAGAATCTACCGATTATTCTCTTGCACAATACTGCATAAGTGAATAATAATTTGAAATAGATTGTGACATATTGGATAGCTGTTTAGCATTGATTTATTTCCGTATTGTTTGGTTTGAAAGGCTTTTGGGAATTCTCAAGAAGCAAAGAATCGGAAGGTAATAATAATCAAAAAAGAGGTGCAAGTGGAACAGGAAAAGGAAAAAGATAGGAAAGAGTAAATTATTTGTTCACTCTAACGACTTCGGAATTTTAAAGGTGCAAAAAACCTCAAACATTGTTTAATTTCCCGTAAATATGTTATTCATCGATAGGTGTTTTATTAGCACAATTTAGGATGGAGAAGCTTACAAATTGGATCGCCTTCAGAATCTTGTCAGTCGGATTTTCAGTGGTGAAAATGACATCTGTTTGAAGTCTTTGGTAGAATCAACTGATGCATCAACTTTTAGTAGCGATGGTATGTTTTGTTGTTGAAATACAGTTGTGGTGAATTGCAGTTATTAACACTAATACCAACTTTAGAAAGTAAAAACAGGTTAAAATTGGTATAAAGATGGTGAACAAAGCATGTTTCTTAACCTTTCAGTAATTATTACATTACGAATTGATATCCAAAGAAAATTGTGTAATGATTGTGAGTGATACTTAGCATATTTATCTACAGCAATAGATAAAATATGTTAAGGGTATGAGTTTTGTCATCTTTTGTTAAAGATGTGGTTTTTTTTTTTATTATTTTGAATAATTTTAGAAAGACATAAATTTTCAGTTGATTTATCAGTCGTAATTGATGATATTTTCATGCGATCATTATGTAACATGCACAAAAGCAAGTAAGTGCTCTTATTGTTCATATCTATTTACTCGCTTTTCATTGGACCAAAAAAGTAATAGAATACAATCGTTGTTAATTTTGTCTGTAATGTACCATTAACGATTATCATTTTGCAGCATGCAGGTCATGAATACAAGTAGAATGCTGGGAAAACAACTTGGCGAACCGCTGTTTGATTTACCTCTAGCTTTGCCAGAAATGGCTTTGCATTATCTTATTACAACAAATGAAAAATTGTCTACTGAAGGGCAAAATCAGGTTTATACCGAATTGATATCCTAATCTTCATTGAAATTGATTAAGAATATCATGACTTCGAAACCGTCTTATGATTCGAATATTGAACCTTTTTATAGTACTAATCAAGGCTAGATAATTAAGAAACTGCTATTAAAAGTTCAACCAGCAGAAATTAAGAGATAAAATTTGAATTGCAGTTTTTGATGGATCACGAGCGATCCGTGATCTCAGTCATTCAAAAAAGACTTTTTGCTCAAACGTCTTTTCTTCTTCGTGGTTTCTATGGTGAAAAGTAAGCCATTTTATCTTATCCATGCATTATACTCATTCATATAAATTCATCTTTATTTTCATCAGTTTTTTTCTTCTTTTACTTCAAGAAATAATCGATTCGGAAATTTTCAATTTTACAGATTCACAGCAGAAGATATGATAGCAGTCTTTGTTCGAATGTTTTATCAGCAGCAAATGCCAGAAACTTTTGCCTGCAATTTAATAGCTTACTGTTCAGATGAAGATATGGACCATAGTGCACTTTCTGAGGTTTATTTCACCATTCTGCCATCCATAATATTTTCAGAAATTTTGCATTACTGCATATTAATGCAGTTAGCAATGTGATTTTACGCAATGAAACATTTGTGTTCAGTCATGTGGGAAATATATGTATATGCTAAGTCATTGTTATATATAGAGATATAGGTTACAATATAATGCACCTTTCTTAAATCCCACTCTACATTATTGAAATAATGGGGAATGTATTTCTAAAAGTTTCAAATAGTAAATGTTTGGGAAATAGTGATATTTATTTTCGTAGGTGCTCATTCACGTTCCTTGTACCCATTATTCGAATCTGAAAATGGAAAATTCGGTGTTTAAAAATTGTTCCAGATTTTCAATCCTATTTTGGACTGTGCGCAAAAGTCGATGAGTTACCAGCAAATGTCGAATAAGTGCAACAGGGAAGTGGCTATTTATCCGTATTCTCTATTGAAATTCCTTGTAGGTGTCAAGACTTCATCCAATAAAAGACCTATTGCAGATTTGGTTAGTTTACGTCATCTTTGTAGTATTTTTTAAAGTTACACTAGGTCTCAATTATGTTATAAAAAGCTTTTATTAATTTATTTGGTTCAAGTCAGTTCTGTTAAATCTGCTCCTCAAACAGTATGGTCAATTTAATCAAATCAGCTGTTCCTGGTAAATAATTTATCATCATTAGCTTCATGATTGTGATTTGTTGTCTTATTACAGCTGGTTTCACGGACAGATTTCATATCAGAAGTATACAGCGTTCTTGAAGGCCATGATTTTGCAAGGCTGTGTTATTTGGGACCATTCTTTGAATATAGCACAGCTCCGGCTGATAATGGAAGCGTAAGAATAAACTTTGGATTCGCTAATGTAATTCACTGAAGCATTTGTATTTATCTTCTTTCAGTTGTCTGTTTATATGCCATTTTTCGACTGCTCTCAACTTCCGGAAGATGAACAAAAACCAATGTTATATAACGTTTACCAGAATGATTTAACTCTTGTGAGGGTATGTTTTTTAAGCTTGACATTTAGATGATTTTTCTGTTTGATTAATTCGTTATAGAATCTATCCCTACACTTGGTTTTGATGTGATAAGCGAAGCAACAGGATAGAAACATCTAACATATATTATCCAGAAATTCTGAGGCAGACATACGTGAGCCAGAAGATTGATTACCTAGCTATCCTAGCTATTGATAGTGCGAACGAGGTTTAGTATAGAAGAACCTAGAGAGCTGTGCATATCATACTGATTAACAAATTTTTCTGGTCATTTTTGAAAATGATTTAAAATTGATTCTATTTTTAGCGTCATTTGCATCAAATATTGCATCAGTTGTTAGCAAATACTTCGAGTCGTAACAGAACGTTGGATTTCATTACTCGCGTATTATCGGTTAATATTAAAAGGAGGCAGATGAATGTAAGTTTGATTGCAACATAAAATTGCTAGTTTTCCAATCAATCAGTAGATTAAACAGAGCACTTTGTTGCTCAGTAATCTCAGTAAATTATTTAAAAGGCTTATTTAAGGTCATCATTACAATACTTTTTATCTTTCTTCGTAGTTGTGAACTATCCTAGTAATCCTGCTGAGTTCTGTTAAGGTAATTATATCTAAAAAGATGAGGTATGCTGTTTGATTTTGCTGTTGATGATGGTTTTCAGCCAGACCATTCAAAATTATCATCGGATGGCTTCATGCTGAATTTCTTTGATGTAATGCTGAGTTTGGTTGAAAAAGTGACATTTGATAAGGTATGTTTGCTATACCTGTTCTAAATTCTGAACTTAAGATATTTTTATATTCTGCACATATTATTTATCTAATTTTCAAGGTGAATACATATTATATGTTCCATCCGAAATGCAGAATTGATTTTTCGAGTGAAACACGGTTAAAATTGGATTTGGAGCAAACAAAGGCCTTCACAGAAATGATAGGTATTTTATTTCAAGTTGTGCTGTGAAGATGCTCATTGAATATGACCTTTGATTACGTATGACTTTTGTAGAAAAACCATTGCAATGTTATGCCTTATTTTAAAGTATCATTGGTAACTGTAGATTAAACTAATGGAGAAGAAAAGTTCCATCGTTTTCAGATACCAATTTCGAGATCAAATTCCCCACGGAATGTTTCTTTTTAACTTTGCAAGCACAACATCTGTCAATATCAGCAGCAATTGGACAATTAAAGTATTTGAAGAGGAATTTGCATGAAATTGAACTTGGTTTAGCTGAACTTAAAGTACAGTTACGCAGATTATTCGCACTTCAAGTAAGAGAAAAAGCAATGATTGAAGCAAAACTGGAGCGAGCCAATATTTTTCGTACGGTATGTTTTCATTTTGCGTATTAAATTGAATTTAAACTTATTGCGATTTATATTTACACATTTTCATATTTGAAAGGTTAGATAGAGAGTAGTTTCGATGAACGTAACAAACAAATTCAAAGTAGATGAAGCTTGGTGGAAGCATACATTTGTTATTTGAACAACCGACTTTTGTTTAATTTAACAAGTTCTTAGGATCAGCCATGATCTTAGGTTTCTTCATAATGCATTTTCAGATATAAATTTAATAAAAAATGCTGGATTTCACAACAACTTTAAATGTCAAATTGAGAATCTCATTCACATTATTTTTTAGAGACTCATTCGGAGCATTATGTGTTTGGAAGCGGCACTGTACGATCCGGTGTTTCTTCATCGAGCTCTGGAATTCTGCAGTCGTCAGCTTACTTTCCTCATCAACATTATTAACCCCAATTTGTTAGTTATCAGAAGTTGCTAAAAATTTTGATGTACACAATGAAAGATATTGTTTTGCTCATTTTTGCATTTTCCTTGTAATGTGTTTTATTTAATTTATAAGCAAAAATGTTCTAAAATCCATTCTGTCTTTTTTCAGCATTAACGATGGTTTACTTCCTCCCGTAGCACCAGATTTGTTTGGAGTCATGCCGGAATTCTTTTTGGAAAACTCTCTCGACTTCATTGTTTTTCTGCTGAAGTTAGTAATGTCATCTTTGGGTCAACAACTTATTCAACTAATTTTTATTTTTCATCTGGATAATATATATATATATATATTTCCTAGGATTGGTGGATAGTGGAAGATATTACTTTATACAGTGACCTGATTAATTTGCAGGAATAATCCAGTTATACTTCTGGAAAGTCGATTGGACTTGCCTGAGCAGCTGCTTGTATTTATTTGCAGCACTCATTATTTTAACAATAAATTTCTCGCAGCAAAGGTTGATTGATTTTTTAATTCATGCATTATTATATAATTCGTTTTAGTATTTTTACTAGTGTCTAACCCATGCAAAAGAAGGTAGATGTATGATTTTGCTTTCATGAATGAACACTCAGCTTTTTCCCAAAAATGAATTTTTTAATGAAAATATTGATGTTGGCGTGTGAATTATTGGATAGAATTTGCAAGAAAGAAAATAGCCTTTCAATTTTCTTTAAGATTGTGATATAAATGTGTATTAAAGTTGTTAAAGTTGGCCGATCAGAATTGTGAGGACAATCAGCATAGTTGATGTCCAATCTATATTACATTTGAAATCTGAATAATCTTATTTATTAAAACTAAAAGCAAAAGCAAATTATAGATAGTGGAAGTTCTATTCATGGTCTGTCCTGCAATTTTACCTGCCGCATATCAGTTCCATCTTTCTGTCATTAATTCTCCACTAGCCATTGATCGACTCTTTCCTAGCCTTGTTAAATTTTATGCAGGTATTATAGAAATTTCGATTCATTTTACTTGATGTTTTGGTTTCTTTTATTTTTTTTTTAAAATGATCTCAGATGTGGAGTCAACAGGAGCAAGCACAGAATTCTATGATAAATTTAATATTAGACGATCAATTCAAGTAATATTTCGTTCCCTTTGGGAAAGTACAATCTACAGAAGTAATATTACTTCTTACGCAAGGTAAGCATATTTTTTTTTTATCCATTAACAATTTACTGCTGGCAGGATAGATTTTCTTGAAGACTTCAATTTGACAAAATTAAAAGCTTCAATCATATTCTAGTCCAGCATTGGAATTTTATGAGGATCAGAACATAATGCTTTGTTATAGTTCTCATATTTAATAGTTTTAAATACTTGAATTTGTCTTCCACATATATTTCCCTTGTTTTATTTTGGATTAAATAATTATCCTTTAATTATATTGTTAATTGTGAACGTCTCATTAGTATGTACAGTATTTTTGTCGTGTTTCAGAGAATGTTCACCAGATTTTATTCGTTTTGTCAATATGGTTATTAATGATGCAACATATCTATTAGATGAATCATTGCTTGCATTGAAAAAAATACACGACATTGAATCACTGAAGGAAAGCAGTGAATGGTCCAATTTGGGAGATGAAGAACGTCAAATGAAAGAAGATGCATTATTGGAAGCAAAGCGAGGTGTACGGAACTGGTTAATACTTGGACGTGATACACTAGATCTTTTTACATATTTAACTGCTGATGCACCTGAACCGTTTTATGAGCCGGTTTGATTTAAATTATTATTATTATTTAATAGGAAGCACAAATATGATTATTTAAACTTTATAACTAGTGATGCAATCGTTCGATTACTGTATAATCTTTTTGCTCCTGCTTACAGCCTTTCATTCTTAAACTTAAAATTTCATTATTACTTTAAGGCTTGTGGCGTGTTACATTCACCTATGTCATACAATTTGAAAATTCTGCTGATTTATTGAAATTAATAAGCTTTAGCTGCTGGGCGAACGATTAGCTTCAATGTTGGATTACAATGTTTCACAATTATGTGGTCCAAAATGTACAGAACTGAAAGTGCGTGACGCAGTACGTCGGTTTATGTGGGAGCCACGAGCTTTACTACAACAAATAGTAAATGTGTATTTGAATTTGTCCTCAGAAAAATTTGCAGAATGCATTGCTAATGATGAGGTGATTATTGGATTTGGTTGAAACCATCACGCTTTAACTATTTCAGCTATTTCAACATATCTTTTGTTTGTATTTTTCGGAAACAAGTAAAACTGTTAGGAACGAAAGGATTACTCGCTTAAGGAATGGTATACAGCACAGCTACTGTTTATGTTTTAGTTCCATTTGAAACAAATTGTACATCTAAAAAAGGATCATGACTCGGCTACCTATTCATTTTCATTTATCTGGATAAAGTGTACATTTTACTCATAGAGATATTCATATTCATTAAACAAACACTTATAGCGTTCGTATTCGCCAGACGTATTTTCAATGGTGCTTTCGCGGTTAACTGCTAATAACATTGTACCTATAAATGAGATAGAGCTCTTGAAAAATCTTGCCGATATGACGCAGCGAATCTGGAAGCAGAAAGCTCAAAATGAAGAAGATTTCGGAGATGATGTTCCAGATGATTTTAGAGGTAATTTTACCTTACAAACTATAAATTGGTTTCTTTTTTTTTTTTTTTTTTTTTAAACACTATCATCCATTATGTGTCATGATGAAATCGTTATGTTAGTGATGAAATTTAACGTTTATTTTAGATTACAGCCTCTAATATGCATCTTTTTCCTTGCATAGATACGATTTTGTCAGTTCTCACTATAATGTTGTCATATTCTAGAATTAATTTTCAAGTTTCATGTGAAAATTTTAAGCTCGAAGTTGTATTTGTAATTACGCTTTAATCTAATTGCAGATCCGGTAATGAATACACTAATGACTGATCCTGTAATTCTGCCATCGGGACATAAAATGGATCGAAAGCATATTATGCGTCATTTGCTCAGTTCTCAAACAGATCCATTTACTCGGCAACCATTGAGCGAAACTCAGCTCGTATCTGGTAATTTTATTCATCTTATTTTTTGCTGTTTGGGTTTTATTTTTAAAAATGTACGTGATTATTCAGATTGGAGGGGCTAACCTTTGACAACTGAACTATATCCTTTGTACTAAAACAGAATCATCTTATCAGATTTCGATTTACAGCCCTCAACTAATCTGTGTTCCTGTATATCCATTATGAATCTTATGTAAGGTAGAGCTGTGTTGAAGTACATACCCTACATTTATTGTTAATTTTGAAAATATGAATTTCACAATTCCAGATGATGCTTTAAAAACAAAAATTCGGGCATGGATAAAGGAAAAGCTGGCGTCAAAATCAAAATGAAAAAATTTAAACTTAAAGTTTCAATAACGTATTGACAGCAATGTTTAACTAAGAAAAGTGCTTTAAATTTTTAATCCTGTCAGTGCTTTGAAATTTCAGAACTTTCTTAAATCTGTTAATACATTTTTCTGAATGCACTGTATGTTTGACTTGGCAGCAAAGATTGTATTTTTAATCCTCCCTGTTAGAATGATTTATAAACACAGTTCTCCATTAGGGTGACAATCAAAATTACTGGAAAGCAATATGGAAAAATGGAACTGCTAAAAGGCGCTCAAAGATCGTGATATAGTTTGTAAAAACGAAGTATTCTTGTCGTCTGTCTTTTAAATTGTTTCTTTCTTGGTTTTGTAGTATTCCATTTAAAGCCGTTTCTTTCACTATTATTTTCGTTTAAAATAATTTAAATTACAAAATATAATTTTTTTCCCAAAAAAGAACTACAAAAAGCAAGCTTTTCAAAACATCGCATTTTCCGAGGTCATTCGATCATTTTTCAATGAACTTCCGTGCTATAATCATTTTTATTGGCTTTATTCGGATAGCAAAAAAGATGGGAGGATGAGATAGTGTTTCGAGTATTGATGGAAATCTTTCATATTTTTTTTTTGCAAATGAATGTTTATATACTTCCCAATTATTAGGATGAATTCTGTCGTACAAATTTATAATGATTTTATAATGAAAAGCGAATATTCAAATGCAACTTTATTTACTTTACAAATTTATAAATTCGTTCTTAGCGATGGATTAACTGCCTCATTTCGAAATTTCTCTTATTAATAGGTAAAGGATTGGTCGTATTTTATTGGTCTTACTAGGTTATCTGTACTTCTTCAGGGTAATCTACCTGTACTTTTGTTTTGAAATGGTGTCCCCTTCACCGTATTATGAATTTCCATGTTCTTTTTATCTTTGTAAAGTACATTTCTCTAGAGATCTTAGTACTTTGGATTCAAAATGTACATTGAATGAAGATTTTGATGAATTATGTTTAAAAATTATATTGCAAGTAACAGCGATGTTACGGATAAATAATTTCACAGGTTATTGAAAGGAATAAACAAGTCATGCTCAAGACGACACATAATGATCTGATGATTTTCGAAATGAATGGACTTATATTCAAAATGGATGAAGTCACAAGTGGTATTTATAATTTCAATCTCTTCAATTTTGTTGGACTTACATCGCAGAAGTTTTTTGGTTGAAGTATTCCTGCAAATGTTTCTTTCTGTCCATATCTTATTCATAGGAATTTGATCCGGTGCATATGTAATGCAAATGGGATCTTTTTTTATGAAAAACTTTTCCAATCACTTTAAAATGCTAGAGAATTTTCTATAATATGAAATATCTTCGTAGACTGTTCAAAAGTAGTGCTGCATGGACGGTCTGTACAGCCTTTTTTCTTAATATTGGTTGTAAATACTTATAAGATGTTGGAGACTTAACTTAAAAGAAGAGAAAAAGAAACATGTTTTAGACGTCATGCACTGTGAATCCTTTTTCTTAATGAATTCTAGTTGAAATCATAAAAGATCTTTATGAGCATTTTGGGAAGTACTTATTTTGTCTATATTTCATCTATGATAATAAAACATTTAAGAATCATAAAATTTTTGGGAATCAATATTAGTTATTACAACAGTTGCTATTGCAGAAATGAATAAAATTGGTTGGAACAACAACCAATTTTTCTTGGAGTTTCATGGAAATAAATGCTGATGAAAAAAATTTTATTGAAAAAAAAGGAAAAAAAAACGGATGAAAAAAAATCTTACTTCAAGTAAAAACTTGTAAAAGCAAAACCAAGGTCAAATTTCACTTTATTCATACAGAGTTGACAATCCTATGTAGTTCTAAGTTGAGATTATTTGATCACCCAACATATTCCGATAACCTCATCGACATAGGCATACTGGCATTGTTATCACATTTAATTTCATTCTTTCCTTGGTTATGCTAGAAAATTAGAGGCAAAACAAAGTATATTTATAGTTGAGATAATCTCTTCTCCCATATATGTCTCCTCCTTTCGCTAAATTTCACACTCTTGGGTCACACTTTTTCATAGCGATCCCGTTCATTCCGGCCCGTATGCTATCTGTGTGATACATCAAACATTCCGGCTCCATTTCCGGCGTAATTGTCACCACTAGCTGGTAGATTTGCCCGAGACTTCTAAGCGTTTGGGTAGCGTTCGGGAATTGTAATCCTGTAACACTCGATGCTTTCATTGCCATTATCATTATGATGCAAACGATCCAGTCATCTTCCTAACTTGATCCGAAAGAAAAATGGGAGAAGTGGTGACAGATGTAAATGCAGGATGCTCTCTCTTCTTGTTCTTTAACCTGACCCTGACATTCGTAGTATGACCTTTGATTGCTAAAGTGAATGTGAAGGACATCATAGATGCTTCTCAGTTCGAATCGATTGGTGATGTCATCGTTGCTCACTTGTGTCCTGCTTACACTTTTTTTTTTTTCAATCCAATTCAATTCAATTCGTTATACTCTGCTAATGATCTCGCTGTCTTTCACGCACGTCAAGTTAAACATCACGAAATGCTATTTTTTAAATGATTGAAAAACTAACAGCAGTGTTTACTTGCTCCATAATTTGCCCTATTTATTGTAAACAACATTAAATTAAAGGACAGAGACATTCCAAATAACATCTCTTTGCTTTCTTTCTTCTGTGTGAAAATATTTTCTCCAGCGTTCAGTGCGTTCATACTCCCTCGGAATTCACCAATACAGTTTTCTTTCTTTCACAGTTTCAGTAAATGAGCTGTTATAACTGCTTAACCACAAGCTTATTTTCTCATTGTGAAAAACCAATAGTTTAAAATTTCCATTGACACTTAAGCAATTCTTTCTTTTTTTTTTACTCCAAAATATTTTGATATTTTCATATAAAATATTATAATTTTAATTTGGATTTGAAGGAACCATCGCGATATGCATAATTTCACAATTTAATTTATCGCATGCTGCAATTCCAGTTTTATATTTATCATACATGCTGCAAATTATTATTATTAATTCTAGCAGACAGATAAATGTGATTCGTATTTTCTTTTTTAAAATTTATTATTTCTAATTTCTTTAAAACATTTTCTTACGGTTAAAATTTTGTTCATCTCATCTACAAAAAATATCTTTAAAAATACAGGAATGTTAATATGAGTACATGAACAAGTTCTGTTTATGCATCTTTGAAAGTTAGAACTCTTCGTTATAAAAAAAAAAAGAAAAAAAAACTAAATCCAATGTGATAATTATCATTCATATTTTTCAGTATTCTAAGTGCATTTAGAAATTATACTCACGCGAAATAGATCAAAATTTGATATACTTCAACATTTTATCACTTTTTCACTGCATTCGAGAGCAAACGGAATATTTTAAAAATGATAAGTAGAGGTAGGACAACCTTTCAAATACATTTATCTTATTCTCACTTATTAGACACACAAATCATACTAATAATGCGATTTTATAAAATTTGTAGTTTTCACAAATTCATCTCAAAAGCACTAAACGCGTTAAAAAAAAACATTCAATTTCACTACATACTAAATCACACTGTATTTCCTTATATTTTCCACACATTTTCCATTCATATTGACAGTACGAAAAGAAGAAAGCAAATTTTATCAACTTCAAAAGATATGCTACTTTAATTCTTGAAATTCAATTTTACTTTATGCGAAAAAAATCAAATTTTTGTTCTTTGATACTTTATTTCATGAAATTCTTCAATTATAATAATATTGCTTTTCATAAATATTCTACCATTATGCATATCATTCAGTTATCTTTCTCTTCATTTCTACCTCAAATGATACAAATGAATTCTATTGTTTCCATTAATTTATTTACAAATTTAAAATTTTTCTTCAAAATTTCCCACAAAACCAAAAGATTTCCTTCTATTATAAAGTAAGACAAATATCGTTGAAAATATTAGATATTCGAGTTGTTTATGTTCTTTCTTTCTCTAAAATTTTCTCTTCATTATTTTTACTTTTCTATCATTATGTCAAAAATTCAATCTTAGATAAGAAGCAAAAATAACAGCTGTTTTTTCTTTGCTTTTTTTCCATTCTTGTTGTAGCAAATATGCAAAAAGCAATTCTTCTTTCATATAATCACAACAAAAATTTGTATCTTATCATATAAAATAAATTATTTCATTTCATGAATTCATGAATTGAATTCTTTTTCTCTATCTCTTTCATTCTTTCCATTTACATTGATTTACGATGAAATATTTCCTTCCTTCACATTCCTCTATATTATTTCAATCGATTTTATGATATAATATTTGTCGCTGGTTGTTATATCAAATAATTGTATTATGAGGTTTACTTAATCATCAAATAAGCTAATCAAATTGATCAACTGGAGTAATCATTTTATTACGTTTATTTATATATTGACAGAAATTTGTTTGCATACATTTTGGATTTATTGCAGAGATAAGTGTAAGGGAAGTGAATTTGGTTTGGTAATTATGATTAACGTTCTTTCCAGGATAATCAAAACATCGAAAGTAAGAAATGATAAACTTCTTTTTCTTCTCTTTTATATAATTGAACTCCTTTGTAAATTAAAAATTCAAATTATTTCTTTTTGTTATTAGTAATTCAATAATTCTTAAATGATTCCTTAGAGTAGAAGATATCATCATTCATTATTCAGCTACCCATACAACAACAATCGCTGGTAGCATTTTCGATTCGTTTGGCTAGCAATGAAGCATCTTTTCAAACCAAACCATATAAGCTACATCGATTAGAATCTGGACCATCAACGAATATTTCTGTCACAAGAAATGATGCTTTGGATTACTATCGTAAAATGGTGGTTCGTTTTTGCTAATTTTACATCATATTTTGCTTCTATGTCTTTTTTTTTTTTAGAATACATAGGTGGTGTTCAATTACATATGATAATTTTATAAAAAATTAATTAGTTTTTGTGGAGAGCAATATATTACAGGTAATCCGACGGATGGAAACAGCAGCAGGAAATCTTTATAAAGAAAGACTTGTCCGTGGTTTCTGCCATTTATATGCAGGACAGGTAATAAATTTTATGTGATTTATAATCGGACTGGCTTAGCATTCCTCACTCTTTTCATACAGCTATCAAAATATGCATCCGAACTATATAATTAACTTTTAAATGCTTCTTAAGAAAACCGTCAAAATATCTTCCTACAGATCTTTTTACATTTCGAGTCTTCATTTCCCTTCTGTTTACATTTGTTAAATATTGCTAACTCAGATATTTCATGATTAGGAAGCGATCGCAGTTGGACTTTGTGCATCGAAGGATAATGAAGATGCTATAATTACTTCATATCGTTGTCATGCGTGGACCTATTTAACTGGATCGGGAATCTCGCAGATTTTGTCGGAATTAACAGGTTAATAATGAGAGAAATATACTTGTACAGCTTTTGAGCTGAGTTTGGTGAATCGCAAAAGAACTTATCTATTATGTGGACGTTGTATTACACAAATAGAAACAAAATTAGAACTCCCAAAAATATTTGGCATTCCTCAGGTCGACGTACTGGTAACGTGTATGGAAAAGGTGGCTCTATGCATATGTATAACAAAAATTTCTTTGGCGGTAATGGCATTGTTGGTGCACAGCAAGCACTTGGAGCTGGTTTAGCATTTGCGCATAAATATAATAAGAAAAAGAATGTTTCATATACTCTGTTTGGTGATGGTGCAGCAAACCAAGGACAACTTTATGAAGGTTCTCTTCATAATCTTTAATAATTCACTAACCTTATGACAAGAGCTTATTGATGAGAAAATTGCATAATTTGAATTTATCGAATTCATATCATAGTGCAGTACTGTCAAATAAATGATAGAATTTTGCAGTCATAAAATGGACTGGGAGATTCTTTGCTGTTTTAATGAAACATGAGTGTTAAACATTCTTAAAAGGTAAAGATATTTGATATGCTAAATACAAGTGAACTTGTTCAACTCATTCAAGCAAAAATGAGTTTTTAGTTTAACTTATTCAACTCTCAAACTAAGTGTTTTTTTAGTCATTAATATGTGTGCACTATGGGATTTACCATGCATATTCATTTGCGAAAACAACGGATATGGTATGGGTACACCAGCTGATCGTGCATCTGCTGTAACAGATTACTACACACGTGGCGATTATATACCAGGTGTTTGGGTAGGTTTAATAATTGATAATCGTTATGAGAAGTTAATTTTTAATACTAGCAATTCATTATCAAATAAACAAATATGTTTTGAAATAATTGTAGGCTGATGGTATGGATGTTCTTGCCGTTCGTGAAACAATTCGATGGTCAAAAGAATACTGCAATGCTGGGAAGGGACCTCTTATGCTAGAATTTGCTACCTATCGATATTCTGGCCATTCCATGTCTGATCCGGGAACAAGGTTAGCGTAGCGTATTTTCTTAAAAAATTTCAGACATTCTAGAAAAGAATGAATGATTGATTTCTTTTCATGTTCCTAACACATGACATGTGTTTTTCAGTTATCGAACTCGAGATGAGGTACAGCAAATGCGCAAAACTTGTGATCCAATCACAGGTTTCAGAGATAAGATCATTGCTGCCGGATTAGCTTCTGAGGAAGAATTAAAAGGGATTGATAAAGAAGCCAAGAAAGAGGTTATTCCTAGCTTTCCATATTTGAAAAATACAAACTATTAAAAAAATAAAAAATAGTAAAATAAAAACATAATTTTTGATGGAAAGAAAATTGTTTTCTAGTCATTCGAAAGTTTACTTCATTAGCAATACTAGAAAATGTCCTGTTCTATAGTTTCATATGGTGTTTTTTTTTTTTTTTTCAAAAAAAGCTGTATGCCAGCTATCAAAACATTGTACTTGATCTATTTTTATGATTGGATTGCTGACAGTTGAGGCTTAATACATATGTTTGTTACTGCTAGAATGAACAAAATTGTTTTTTCTTAGTTTGTAAACTAAAACTAGAAGGTGCATCTAAATTGAAGGTAATTGTGATAATAAATTACTGTAAATGCAATCGTTAGTTCATTTTGTTAAATTTAAAGATTTGTATCATTGTTATTTCAGGTTGATGCAGCCGTAAATATAGCTCGAACCGAACCTCCACTTCCACCAGAATCACTTTACTGTGATATCTACCATAACACACCTCCTCAATATGTACGTGGTGTCACCCTAGATGAAAGTGTCGTACAAAAACATTGCCGAACTGAAGATTTAATGAAATCATTAGGATTGAACGCTTAATTAGAACTATTTTCTCCTTTATAATTTGTAAACATTTTTAAGATGTCAGTTTTCAAATTGGTTTCTTAAAATTTGTCTAATCACAACCATAATATCTCACATTATCACCGAGCAGACGTTTTCACTTTCTTATCAATTCTTAATTGTGAAATATTCTTGATTATCTCCAAGAAACATTTTTACCACGTACTTCTTGATAGTCTGTGCTACGTTTTATTAGCGGAAGTTATTAGTAATACTATAAGTAATTAAGATTACTGCTAATATGAGCGAAATATATTCTTTTGAGCAAGTTATACTTTTACAAATTTTTAATGTGGAGGTATTTGAAGTTGTAAATGTTTCGCTTGAACATATTCACAAATGAATTATTCCATTCATTTGGATTCCACACAATGCATCGATTTTTCCATATACTCGAAGTAAACTTTTAGAATCAACAAAAAATTTAAACGTAAACATGTAGTGATTGTATAAAAATGGTCGGATGAAGATAATAAAGGGAGAGTTAGAGTTTGTAAACTTAAAACTTTTAAGAAACTAATTAAATGAAGATTTGTTCAGGTATGAAAATATGAAGTCAAGTTAGAAATATATAGGAATACTGGTTGAGTATTATTGATGAATTCAGAGATTATCAAAATTATAAATGCTTAAAAAGGTGAAGATTTATTGTTTACTATGATTAAATATCAAAAACTTGATATTTGAGGTATCATTTGGTAAGTTAATGACTGTCTTTTAGATAAGGACACGATGTTGAGGAATGGACAGTTTCTATAATTTCGGAAATTTATTCTGAAGCAGATAACTTCTGAGAACAATACGAAATGTAAAATAAAACATTATGTTTCAAAGTTTATTAGTTGTCTGCATAGATTTGAATGGGATGTGGAAGAAGAGCATTTCGCTAATATTCTCATCATGGGTAAGAGGATGGAAGATTGGAGGTAGACATTACCCATGGGTGAGTTATGCTATCGGTAATTACGAACAAGGATAATCACATCAAGAAAGAAAAGAGAAAATGGAGATGACTGTTTCAACACTGATGGATTGAAAATTTTCAATCTTAGCAGTATATTTTGAGTGGAGCTATTTTCCCTATCTTTGTTATCAAATAATCACAAATGGGTAACTTACCTAAATGATTATTCAAATTCTCTTTAAGCTGTGTTAGTTATCTCTTCCATGTAGAATAGCATCACTTCTCCATTTACGCACGTTACAAATGCGAAAATCTTATGTGCGCTGAATACGTGATCTCTTATCAGTAAGCTAAAAATAAAACATAAATCTTTAAGCTCTGAAAGCTTTGAAAGTATTAAAAATTGGAAATTTTATAGATGAAATTATTGGAAAGGAATAGGAATTTTAAATGATAACGTGATTGTGATACAGTGATGATTGAATGAGATTTGAGGTGAGGATAGAATAGTGATCTTAAAGGATTCGATGTGTTTGAAAAGAAGGAAATACTGCATGGCCATTTCTTTCTTACTTTCTTTCTTTTCGGAAATATGATTCTGATTGAAAATTTTTGAAATTTTTACAATCTATTATTCACAATGAGCACATTTGAACGGTTTGAAAGAAAAAAAAAAAAAAAAAAATTTAAAGCAACTATTCCAACTTGATATCTATATCTCAAATGTAAATTCAAAATTCTACTTTTGCATCACAAAATTCACAACAGAAATTATTGGAACAAATAATTTATTTTAATTTATTCAGCATAAATCTAAACAAAATGTCTATCTTAATTCGTTGCGTTTAAAATTTAAACATAAACGTTAAACGTAAGCTACCCATGATGATTATTAAATTTAAATAAGATAACTTACCTACAAATGAATCAGTTTTTCCCGAATTTTATGCATTTATTTTGTGACTATCATGATTGATCAGGAATGATCAACCTTATTGATTACTCGTAAATACTTCTAAACTTATTGGCAGCTAGGAAATAAATTATAACCTTAAACTTTTTGAAACACGCCAATGACTTTAGTATTAGTACTTCTGATTATTCTGATTAAAATTTCCATATCCATTGTATACATACTGTCATCATATCAAATTAATTATCTAAATTTTTTTTCATTTTAATTTCAATAAAATTTATTGATGTAAAAGTAATTTCTCATTGTTCAATTTTGTGATAGTGGAGAGCAGCTTGAACATATTGTAAATCTAATCAAGGAAATATGGTGGTTGCTTTATTTGCTGCCAAAGTAACATTCTATCATCGATTGATAAATTTGCTAAAAAAGCTTTAAATAATTTTCTCCCAATTAATCTTATCTTTCTTCCAGTATTTTATATTATAAATTGTAAGAGAATTTGATATTTATATAATATTTACGCTTCATATCCTAATCAAAACGAAATCTGTAAATATTGCTTAAGGAACTTTCATCATTTCATTTTTTTTTTTTTTTTTTTTTTTTTTTTTGAGATTCAAAATCTTCTACATAAAATTAGAAATGCAAATTTTAATAAAATGAACATTCAAATATTTTTTGTAACTATTATTGTAAACCATTTGTTGGTACTTGTCATTATCAGAAGTTTTCAATATTACGACACCGATCATTCACCGCTCAATTAGTTCGCCATGTAAGCGAAGCATCATTCCAAGTACAACCATTTAAATTGCATCGACTAAAATCTGGTCCATCAACAAATGTTACCGTCACTAAATCAGATGCTCTCAAAATGTACAAACAAATGCAGGTATGTATCGTTTGATGTCCTTACTGAGATAATCTTATCTTTCCAAATATTAGTATCACGGCAATTATCAAAGTTAACTGCAGTTAGCCTTCTATTATCAATTCGTAATTTCATAAATTGTTTGTTAATCGATAAAAAATATCGTGATGTATTTATTATTTCTTAAATCTTGTATCATTTCTCAACGCTATTATATCTTTTGATAATTTATGTATGAAAGTAAAAAACATTAATATCTATGTTAAATTATAAATAATACCTATTCATCGTGAAAAATAAAATATTCCTAAATAAAATATCTCCAAGTAGCGTTAACATTGTAGCATATCTTTTCATTTTATTTCAAAAAATTTAGGTAATTCGCAAAATGGAGCAAGCATCAGACTTATTATATAAGGATCGAAAAATTCGTGGTTTTTGTCATCTCTATGCTGGACAGGTCACAAATTTGATGCTTTTGCATAAATTATTTATTACAATTACACTTCCACATTATCTTTTCAATAAATAATTTTCAACTTATTATCTTCTACAAATGCAATAAATTCAATAAACAAAAATTTTTAATACCTTTAAGGAAGCTTGTGCTGTTGGACTTTATGCTGCAAAACATCCCGATGATTCCATTATAACTTCTTATCGTTGCCACGGATTTACCTATTTAGTTAGAAATAGTGTAAAAGAAATTCTTTCAGAACTGCTTGGTTAGTTTCAATTAAAAAAAGTTCATTGATAATGAATTGATAATTTGTCTGTTTATCTTTTCAATTTATTAACATTAAAGTAAAACAAAATATTGGAATAATAATTACTTGTGAAAAAATTTGAATAATGAGCATGAAATTATGAGGAATTTCAATCATATTTGCTTCATAGAAATAAATTCACTTCCACTAGATGTGAAAGTCAAAAGACTTATACTGCTTACATCATAGTTTGAACTAAATATTACCCAAGATTACATGGTAAGCTTAGGCTTTTTTTTTTTGGATCATATTTAAAATCTAACTTTGAATTAGGCCGTTCGCATGGTAACGTTAACGGAAAAGGTGGTTCGATGCATATGTACGGCAAAAACTATTACGGCGGTAATGGAATTGTTGGTGCGCAACAACCACTTGGCGCTGGCATAGCTTTTGCAATAAAATATAATCGTAAGCCAAATGTATCTTTCACCATATACGGTGACGGTGCTGCAAATCAGGGGCAACTTTTTGAGGGTAAACTTTATTTTTATCTAATTAAAAAAGTTTGACGTACATAAATGATAATTTTATGCTTAATCTTTTCATTTTTTGAAATTTCCTAAAACTTTCAAGAAAATTTTTTCAAAAAATTTCTTGATAATTTTATAAAATGGAACAGGCATTATTAGATTTGTTAGCTAATTTTTATACATTATTATTTGCTGCTAAATTTGTATCGATTAGAGTTGTACAAATATTTTAACGTTTATAGAAATGTTTGTACAGCTTTAATGAAATTTTATTTTGTGTTCGCTATAGAATTCAACAAATATTCTATTATAGTTGACAAAAATTATATTATAGCTTTTAAAATGTGACATTCTTTGATAAGAAAGGTAACTGTTAAGAAATTCAACAGCAATAGAACGAATAACTTTTTACGTACGTAAAATAAAATGAACTATAATTGATAGCAATTTCAGCAGCAAACATTTGTGCGTTATGGCATTTACCATGTGTTTTTATTTGTGAAAATAATGGTTATGGTATGGGTACACCAACTTCACGCTCTTCCGCCTCAACAGACTATTATACCCGTGGCGATTTTATTCCCGGAATTTGGGTAAAATCTTTTCTCATTTTCAAAGAAAATAATGTAAAAGATTTGTGCTCATTATTAATCAAAATGTCAACTTTTTTTTTTTTTTTTCTAATAAAAACCAGGTTGATGCCATGGATGTGCTTGCGGTACGAGAGTCGATTAAGTTCGCCAGAAAATATTGCACTGCTGGTGATAATTGTCCATTATTTATCGAATTTGCAACTTATCGATTCTATGGTCATTCTGTTTCTGATCCAGGAACAAGGTAATCAAATTTATAGAGGATTAAGTTTTATTAGATCATTTAGAATCAAATCTCGACTTGTTTTTTTTTTTTTTTTTTCTTTTGCTTATTTAAAATTACAGCTATCGAACTCGTGAAGAAGTGCAGAATATACGTAAAACTTGCGATCCGATTTCGCTATTGAAAAATCGAATCATTACATCAAATTTGGCAACAAAAAATGAATTGAAAG